ACTCTCTTTATCTGGAGTATAAGATCGAGAGAAAAAAACTCAGCTCAGCGTTTCGATCTGTCAGGAAGCGTCTATAGCGGCACGCGGCGGAGGGTCTCGGAAAGCCGACCACGTTGGTCAACGCTCAATTTCGGCCCGCACTGGACACCTTTCCTCTACGCGAGGTGACACCGCTACAGGAACGACGATCTCATGCTGCCAATTTGCGATCGTCTCCGCTCTCTCCCCATCTATACTTGCTCATGGGTTTGCGGGAGTGAAGGGGAACTCTCGCGACATAAGGTTACCGTCCATCGGTTGTCATCCAATTCCTGTCAGTGATCTGCAGCGGTCGTATCACCTAGTGGACGAGGCCTGGCAGTGTTCTTCCCTCGCTTCTCCCGATCCTACCTGTTCATTTAACAGGACATCACCCGACTTGGCCCTGCCGCTGGTGGCGTTTTATTGTTCGGTGTCGCTGTGGTTTTCCTTGCACTCCTTGAGCAGTGGTAGCGGGAGAGTATTTTTTTTCTGTCTGCCTGACCATCTTCTCCTCGCTGGGTCTGTCGTCGGTCTGGTCGTGTCTTTTCTGAGCCCGGTCTGACCAAGACAGAGCGCGCCTGCCGACTGCAGATAAATGTCTCAAACGACTCCCACAGGAGAAACAGGAGACTGGAGAGTGGCTTTGTGGCCAATTGCGCCGGAGGCCATTTCACGATAACCATTCGAGCGGGCAACGACTGCCAACCGGTCGACTCCCGAGTCAGTCTGTCAACCGCGATCTGATCTTCGGTCCAGGCCAAAGGGAGTGGGATTAAGCGAGCGTGGACCATCTGATGCAAACGGGCAGACTGGGATCGTCGAGAAGGTTTGCCGACTTAGCGGAGCGATGCCGCTCCAAACTGGTCGTTAACACCGAACGGTGAGCCGGTTTGGCAACGGGGTTTTCAAAATTCTGCCTCACCATATGCCTAGAGGCCTAGAGGTGAGCAGCGAGACCTCGTCAAAGTTGAAACCTCCCGGGGAACTTTTGAAGAGCTCCCACGCATCTGATTTCGATCTGTATTGTAATCGGGTTTTCGTCGGGGATTACTTCGCGGCTCATCGTAAACCGCGGCGATTGGGCTCACCGTCTTCGCACACGGCCGGGAGTATGCCCACGGCCGATTGAAGCGGGAAACTAAAGGTTCGCGAATGCTGAGTCCCATCACCTGAACCCAATTTTTCAACGATTGAGCGATGTTCCGATTCTCTCGAAATAGAGTCAATCATGAATCATTCGGTGTGGGTTTCCGAAAGTGGGCCGATCCCAAGCTTCACTTCAGGAACTCCCCAAGAGCTCTGCGCCTGGATGATCAACCCATCGAATTTCAAAAAAAACTTGGAGCACCGCAGGGACAAACTGGAGTATGTTTTATAAACTTGTCGATGAGAACGGTGAGCCGGCACTGCTGCGTTCGCACCTTCTCTGTGTTCTCGCTAGCTCCTCCGTTCGACTTCCCCCATGCCCCAGAGACGCATCGGATGTTCCCTGTTTGCGCTCCGATGAACAAGTTGTGTCGACAACTGGCGCCGCATCTGAAGAAGTCGGGCTTGAGCACCTTTTTCCTTAAAACGCTTATCGTGTTTTCGTTTTCCTGTTGCACGCGGGAACGAGTCGGAGAGGGTGGGAACAGTGTTGCTGCGTCCCTGTGCTCACCTCACGCGATGAAGCGCGAAAACTGGGGACGTCTTGTCTGCGCATATGTTTCCTACACCATATCTGTCGACAGGACGTACCGGCCCGACGAGCAGCAGTTTTTCCGTTCGACAACACGTCCTGGAGAATTTCTCCGCTTTCTTCCAGCGACGAATGAGTTAGTCACGCGCGGAACGCATGGCACGCATCGAGACTAAGTCGCTCGAATTGATTGCTCTGTATTTTGTCACGTCGCGTAGCGTTGGCACTTTGCGAGTTGACGGTTCCCGGACAGCAGGTGGGCATTACTTTAGGAAGGGAACAAAGGGGTGAGGGGAGGCGCGTCGGTGACGCGGGCCCCGGGGCTCACTTTCAGCGGCCGTAATTGCTTCGTCAAAAAGTCACGCGGCTTGCTCGCATGCTCCGGAAAATCTCCGAAACGTAATGAATCCCAGTGCCGACGAAGCAGAAGTGCGAAAGCAGTCGAGGTTTAAATGATGATTAAACGGAAATCTTTGCTCTGAAGCGTCCAGCTTGTCTTCACCGTTGGGGGGATTCCCAATGACGGAGTCGGATAGTGATCATTAGGTCTTTTATCGCGGCACAATATCGCCGAAATTGCGGCTTGAGACTCGAAGCCGGATTCGGGCAAAGGTTGGAAGCTCTCCGAGCGCGGGAGAGTTCCGGATCCCGACAGATTGCCTTGACTCTTATTCCATGATCGAACTTGCTTGGATGAGTAAATGTAGTAGACAAAATGGAAATCTTGGGAATCAAGAGAGTCGCTAGAGGGAGACGAAAATTCGCGCTTCCCGCGAGTTCCGCGATCGCCGCGATTTTCTCGCAGCCCTGGTAATTATCCCATCTTCTGAATACACTAAGATTTCGCAGGGAGTTATAGGTGGACATTCCCAACCCCGCTCTATGGTGGACCAGCCGCTGCTCTCTGATATTTTTTGGGGAGCGATTGGCCTGTTGCAATGGAATTGTGAAGTGACAGAGGAGAATGAATGGGAGGTCCAATCGGTCTCGATAAGAGTGGAGTGTATTTGTCAAGATACGGAGGCGGCCGAAGCGAACATCCGTGGACCTCCTTTCGGGAAGATCCTCTCCGGTTTCTCCCCTGGAAATTCCTCCCGATTCTCCGGTTCCTCTTTCCGAGTATTCCGAAGACTAGAGGACCTATCGGGGGAAATCAGAAGGAATGACCAACGATGGCAAACATCCAGTGGAGAGGAAAATCCCTGGAATTCTCTTTCTATGAGTGGTCCGTGCATATCCCTCGCGACGGAAAAACATTCCGCTGCATTTCACTCCGCGTCTCATCAGAAGTCAGTCCCGCGACTGCCGAATCGAGAGACGAGGCGATTGACGAATGCGCCAAGGACGATACCATCACGAAGCCTTCGGAAGGCTTCGCCTCCCGCCTTGGGATGACATCTGAATTGCTGAAAGACGCCACTATTATCCCGAGCTTTCCACAGGTGGAAATTCTTCTCCCCCACCGCCCTCCCGAGCTACGCGTTCGAGCGAGCGGAACACGCGAGATCGTTTTGATAGAGGGTTCCTCGAGGTATGCGATGCTTGAGTCGCGTTCCCCGCTTCCATTTCTTCGCGCATTACTCAATTTTCGACTGCACATCTATTACCGCGACTGGTTCCGTCGGCGGCTTCCGAAACATTCGCAGCGGAAGGAGCCAGGAGCTTGTCAGCGTGGAAATCAAGGACCGCTCCCCAGTACCCACCGCTGAATCCGGACGCCTCAAATAGCATTCGTCAAGTCGACAACAAGGGAAAGATTTCCGGTATGTGCGGGAGGAGACACGGACCAACTCAATGTTCCACGGAGGAGAGACCGGGAATGTTGCAACGGAAGTGATATTGTTGTTCCCGAACGCGGCGGAAGGAGCCGACGACGGAGGGACCAGGAGAACGGAGCGCCATAAAGAGATATGAGTTCCTTTCTCGAGTAGACCGAGATTCCTTTCCGAATCCACGTCGGAGATTGACGGCGTGCTAGCCAACCGATACCAGTAGCGTAGGAAGCTTTTGATTCCGGTGTGAGAACGCGTCCAACGTAGATATCGGACTCTGGCCGAGAAAGCAAGCCGCTTACTGCGACGCTGAGATTCGGTGACCCGGATGTACTCGAGCAGGAAGCACAGCTTTAATTTTGAGCGCCCTCGAAAGTCGACGTCTCGGTTCGGAGCTCTCCTCGGGTTTCAGCTGTGGAGGAGCGGAACGTTTAGATTTGTGAGGAACAGCTCCATAGGAGAGAACCGATGTGGAATGCTAATGCGAGATTCGTGCGGGACCTTTCCAACGACCGCACTGGATGTTTTTGGATTCGTCCACCGCACCGTGAGAAGAGAGACTGATTTTCAAAGATCCACTCCTGCAAACTCAAGTGGGTCAAACTTCCTTTCATTCGGTTCCCGATTGAGGCTCGAGCTCAGCTCGGAAACTCAAGCCTGCAAAGACCCTCGCCAAGCGAACATTTTCGGGACGAAATTCCTCTTGCGTCCAGGCTTCCGGTCATTTTCCCCGATTGAATGTAACCGGACACCGTAGGAATGTCCCATTCCCTCTCCCCGGGAATAATTATCCGCCGGTATACTATATTCAAGCCGAAGCGAAGCCTATAGTCCATACGCCGGTACCGGTATCCCCGTCTGATTCAAACCTGGAGAATGGAGATTTCAGCTCCACCTCCATATACCGCCACCGGCTTGGTCGCATTTCGCGGTTTTCTAGTCACCAAGTGAGACTTTAGAGGGATTTGCCGAAAGGAAAAGTCGCTGCCTGCAACGAGATTATTTTCGATTGGTTTAAAATCCAAGCGTGCAGAAGGGAGTCCTCCGAGACGACCTCGCTCCTCCTCACCCACCCATTCGAACTTCAAGCTCCCGCTAATCAAGGCTCTCTCTCGGGATCCCAATCGCGCAAAGCGACCACCTGAGTTTCCTGCATGGGTCAACGGAGCCAGGCGGGTTTGCGGAGCTCGACGACACTCGTGTATTAAAAATTCATACATATAATCCCTCGAGTCGATGTGAGTCCAAGTCAGTCAAGAGGCGGGCGCTCAGGTGGTACACGGAGCGCGGGGTCGCGGGGCTCGCGCGATACCCCGCCATCCAGGGGAGTTTCAATTCGTGCCAAACAATTTGAAAATCACATCGAGCAATAGCTCCCCGGATCGGGCAATGATTCGCTAATTGGTATGCAGGGTCGCTGTTGGGAGTGGTGCCGCCTGGGACCGGCTTTCCTGATCGAAAGATTGATTCGCAAGCTATACATGTTCACCATTGACGATTCACTGGTCTTTTCAATCCTATTATTTCAGCGTCACGTGAAGCCGCTTTCATCTTTGCTGTGACATCCGCAGGTGTCGTGCACTCGGTTTCGCGAGCTTGCTCAGCAGGTATTTCAGAACGGAATTCAAGATTCGCTCGGAATAGTTGGAGGAGCTCTCCACGGGACAATTTCTTCGAAATCAATCCCTTTGACTCGGATAACCTAAGGGAATCTTGCACGATTCTCATAGTCGTGTGTCGTGTCCGTTCGCAGGGAATTTGACAGACTGCGGCTGCGATCCGAACAAACCAACAGGTCACAAGAGTGGAAGAGGTTGGAAGTGGGGAGGTTGTTCAGCAAATATCGCACAAGGACTCGATGTCGCGAAAGAGTTCATCGATGTCGCTGAAAGGGAATCTGAAAAGAACACACTCCGATCGCTCATGAATCTCCATAACAATCAGGCTGGCCGCATCGCTATCAGGTAATATTTGGACTGGCTGTGTGTCTTTTCCGTCCGGGGAAGACACACGTGTTTCTCCCCGATATTGAGGTTCTGACGCTCGCGAATATCGTTTCCAAAGAAAAAACATGAGACTTCGATGCCGATGCCATGGAATATCCGGATCCTGTGAAGTGAAGACCTGTTGGATGCTGTTGCCGAACTTCGAAGATATTGGAGGTTTCCTTAAGGAGAAATACGAAAACTCGATCCAGGTAAGTGGACCGAGAGACTGACGGCGGCGGCATCCTGCGCTCGTTGATCAGCCGCGCAGTCTGGGTCGCGGTGGAATATTCCCTAGACTTGACGATACATCTCGTGAGAAACAGCTGAGCAAATGTAGAGCTCAGAACAGCTGAATGCCCGACGGCTCGCATTTCGCTCGTGCATATGTAGGTAGCTCAGCTGTGGAGGTTCCAAAGTGAACAAGATTCGAAAAATGATGGGAGGATCCCCCGTCGATGACCCTGACTTGCGTGGCGCTTTAAGGGACGTTATGATGGATTCTCCAGAAGTCGATGAAAACATATTTTTCTCAATCCTGCGATCTGGAACTTTTCGCCAAGAGCGACTCATTCATTGGAAGGGATTCCCCAAGACATTGTAGAGTCTCGCTCTGATCCCTCGTACCCCGTCCGTCCGCTCATTCCACCTGTTCGTTCATTAGTTCGATCCGTGAGGTCCAACAGAGACGTCCGACATGAGAGCGCGACGCTCCTGGCGGGACAGACGGCGAGTAATCCTCGAGCCTTCGCTTCCTTCCCCACGAAATTCTCGAAAGCTGTCAAACGCACCCGTCAAAATTCTCGGGGCCGGAACTTCAGTCTTCGAGTCGACAGTGCCCTCGCAGGAGGCGCGGCGCCGGCCCGTCCACCGGAACGATAACGGACCTGTCTGCAGGACTCGTGTGCTCATAGGAGTCTCGTGAAATTGGAGAACATCGCATGCAGAGGCAAAATATCGAGAATACGAGTATTCTATAGCGTTCGCTCCTCCTTTCGATGCCAGTGCCTATCTGTAATTTTACTCTGCGGAGTCTGACACTGAATTATTCAAGAACGTTCCCCGTGAATCTGCTGACACTACTTGTTCCGAAACGGATATTGGACTTCCCCCAGGACACGAGGCCCGCTCCGCAGCTAGATAGGGAAGGACTAAACTCTTTTAGCCTCATCTCTAACCGGTTCAGACGAAAATATCGCTGCTCTCTGATATACCTATGTATGTACATATGTTCGCAAGCGTTGCTGTTGTGTATTTCAATCCCAACTAAGTCGCCCGCGTCCGAACCCTCTCATCCCCGCTTCGACGGAGTCGAATTTGCCGAGCCCACCCTCCCAGCTACTCGCGCTCCCCATCGCGTCGCTCGACCAAACCCTTCCATACCCGCCCGCTCAAGCAGCCGCGCTCCCCAGTCTCGGGAGATCTCTCCACAAAAGGCAACCTGTCATCTGGTCGAGTCTTTTTAGTTTCCTCCCCATTCACGCCCCTCCGATGCAACTCTTAGCCCTCGTGGAAACGATAGCTCGCTCGCAGGCTGAATGCGTGCCGGAGAAAAGAGAGGCGTGTTCCATATGCACCACCGCTCGTTTCCGCGGCAGTGTAACCGACACGAGGCACCGGATCGATCCCCTCGAGGAATCGGGGCTAGCTTCTGGTTAATGTATCGCTGTGACGAATTAGCAGAGAGCGCCTCATCCTCCATCGCCCGACTTCACCTCCTGCGCCTAATTGATATTGACTGCAGTCGGAGAAGAGAAACTTCTTTGTCTAGTCATAATTTCGTCAGTTGGTGATGATTCGTGGAATTATCCGGCTCGACAGAGAATCGGCAAAATGAATACCAAGCCAATCAATACTCCGCTTGCACCCCTTGAGCTCCCTATGGGAGCCTACGGGAAACGCCAGAGTGGCAGACACCGAAGTATGGCGCAGACGCTACGACTGGTTTGAGCTGCTGCGTCGGACTCTTGTGCTGTATGAGCATCCTCCGGCAAAACGAAATTAGGGGCTCTACGCGCCAAAGTGACGCTCCATTCGAATCTTCCCCGCATCTGGGCTGACTGAAAGATGATTATTGGATTAAAGAGCGCTCGTCACTCTGAGGAGATCACTGGGAACAATTCAATTAGTTGATGCTTCACCCCGAGAAACGAACAATCATTATTCGTCTGTATGCTCAATCCATTTGCGGGTGTTCCAGCGCGCTCTTCCGAGCCGACCCTGCCGGGATCTCGATTGGCTCCACAAACACGAAGATTTGGAGCGATGCCGCCCGAAGTTCGTTGACTCCCGTGATTCAACTCCGAGAAAGATCCCGCGGACTTCAGAGGGATGGAGAGCGATCTCTTCTCCTGTCAAGCAGCAGGATTCAGGGTATCGTGGGAACGAGAGGCAATTCCGTAAGGAGAACAGCCACAGATTTCTCTACCAACCAACATCTGCGCTTGTAGCAGGTGTTGATGCTGCAAGTTATGAAATTCACTCGAGCAAATCTGTCGTATCGGGGAATTCGTTGTTGTGATCGCCGTCTTGTCGTCGTTGGCATCATCGTCCTTGCTGCCGGGACCGATATTGAAGCGTTGTCACCCAAAGCGGTGACATACACCACCGAGAGAAGACGTCGACGTCTGTGTCTACGGTTCCAGCCGGCCGCATAGAAAGAGGGGCCAAGCAGATAGGAGACTGCCAATCTCGCCTCTCCCTCGCTCCCTGGCGTCGTTTTGGGAATATCCCTGAATTCCTCCCACGCCTTCTAGACGTGGCGGACGTATCATCGGCTCAGTGATCCGCTGCGATTTATATTTGGAAATGTTGTCGGGATCGTCCTTCCTGAACCGATAAGAATGTTCGATTAGATGCTGATCGGGGGCTGCCGCGCTCAAGTCTGCGCGCACGCGTTTCCGCATGAGGAACCCAAAGAATCGGGGAAAAAACTGAATCATTGTCTTTTCTCCCTTGCGCTCTTCCCCGGAGGAAGGTAGTCAGGGGAAAAGCTCTCGCGATCATTTTTCAAGAACAAACGTCGGTGTCTCATTTCGTCGGGGTTCTGATGCTTCCTTCGCACGAGTGAGCAACAAGTTCGTGTATCGTTCATAATTTCCCTGATCGGCTCTATGCGATGGATACTCGAGGGTCGCAGGAGCTCCCTTAAGGAAGCTTCAAATAGATTCATGGACGGAATCCTCGCAGACGTACAATACGTCGGAAAACATAGGCGGATAAGATGCTAAGCCTGATTGTAAAACAAGGATCTCAGAAAATTTATCCTACTCAAGACTTCTGTGGTTTGGACAGAGCTGTGAATCATGTCGATCTGTCAGACCCCGGTGTCTCGACAATTTCATCCAGACGTTTGCGCCGAATGAATCGCTTCCTGAGTGGAACTCAGTTTGGGGGCCAAGCTGGCACGGTTCGGAACCCTAGGAGTGAAATGAGGGGTGCACTCCAAACTCTAAGGGTCGCGGCAGTGAGTTCGCGTCGTACGGTTTATCCGCAGCACGAAAAGGTATGAAGCATTCATTCGGACAAACCGTGAAAATTTCGGAATATCTCGAAGATTCATCGGCGTTCAGACAGAAACGATAAAACCATCAGAACGTAGGGTACTCGTATGACACGCTATCGGCCAAGGGGGAAATGCGAACGCTGGGCGTTCTACGCAGACGTTCCATTAGGAGAAGGAGGAAACTTCCGTCTCGTCGGCGTTTTGTGCTTCTCGAGCAGATGCTCTGGTCCCCTCTGGACAGTGAATTCACTCCATGGCCGACCGTTCGAACGCTGCCGATGAACGGCGACTATCGTGGGAGAATCTTTCCATCAGGGTAATATTGCCCCGCCTCGACCAAGGGTCAGATGACTGAATGTTGTCCATCCTTTCTGTGTTCCGATCTCAGAGTCGCATGTTCAGCAAGAAGTCCTTGGGATGAGTCCAGGTACGGACGAGCGGAACGAAAGTATCATAACGCGTGTGAGACGACGACGACGACGATGACCATGGGAACTCGAGGGCTGCGGACCGTGAGGTGCTAAGGGATGAGAGGCTCGGAGATGGGAGCAGCAACGATTAGGAACAAGACCGTGGCGTTCGGAGTAGACTTCTCTCGAAGGAACGACGACGAGGAGAATCATTCGAGCAGGGGTAGATTGAATGACAACGGACGGGGAGAAGGAATTAGGCCGAGGAGTAGGACGGGTTGCGGCGGAAGACGACCACGATGGCCTCCATTCGCTAAGCAAGCGTTTCGTCTCTCTCAAAACGAGCGTTTCCGTTTCCCGTTCGCTCGTTAGGCTTAACCGACGCGACGATGGCTGATGTCCCGATTGCCCGCCGACGGAACGTTGAGCGCTCAGTGTTCCAAGCTGTCTTTCTGCTCACCGCTCCCGGCCTCAACTAATGCGTTCATTGACAATTACTTCTTTGTTGTTAGTGAGCCGTCCCTTTTGCATCCCGCTCGTCTCTTATTGTGTCGTGTGTCGTCCATCCATCGGTGGGTTCGTTGTTGTAAAAGCGAACGAACGGGTTCACGGGAAGCGAGACACCCGATGAGGACGGAAAAAGACCAAACCAGACATGTCCTTTACAGCCACGACCATCACAGTCATCTAATGAGCCAGGTCTTCCTGACAAGTGAATTATAGAGCAATAAACACGCAGTGCACCGACCTTAGTTAAGCGCGGTCTCATCGGGGACATCCGTTGGCCCTTTGGGAGAACCCAGGCGGGAACAAACAAGCTCCTCGTTGAGTTCGGCGAGTCGAAATCCCAAACGGGCTTCGTTCTCTGCGGCTGGAGCTCGTCTCGGCGCTGTCCGGGTTGCCTCAAGATGCTCCAGCAGCCGATTAGTCCTGCGCCGCAGAAGCTTATCGAGTATGCACATCGAGATAGGTCCGTCGCGGGGTTCGTGCAGTTCCTTGCACTTGATGAATCCGGTCTTCGAGTAGGAAGACCGGATCCTACTCCGCGACCGGCTCGTTGGCCGCGTCGTAAGACAAAGTGAGTGACAAGCTAGTCACGCCAGCTAGTTCGCTTCGAACACTTCCATATGATCTCCATCTTTCCCCAATATCCGCGAACCACTGTCCGCTTCTGTTGCTGCATGTTGAACGTCGCCGCGGTACGGTCGGTCGTCCGGCGGACGGGCGCCTTCACTAGTCAGGCGACGGAGGCAGCAGAGGGGCTCTCCCACCAACGACAGATATGAGATGGGTGCTGGCCGGCTTGCTGAAAACTTGGAGAACTTTTCCAAGCCTCTTTTCACTGCTATATTATGATAATAAACTTTGGAGCGAACATCCAGCCAGTGGAGCGAGCGAGACACCCTCGCTGGCAGACCAAGCGAGGTCCGGACGCGAGTCAGGGGTCGATATCTTTCTCTTTCGTAGTTCGTTGGCGCCGATGCCATGCCGTGACGACGCAGCCATGTTTTGTTCTCCCGGGAACAAAAAACAATTGTGAGGGGAACAACCCCCCTTGCGGACCGGAATCCGCGTCATTGGCGTAACGGGAAATGAACGAATCGATCCACCAGAGAACGATTGAAGACGTTCGAGAAGGCTCTAATGAGTTTTTCCACATTCCATTCGTTTCGCTTCTCGTACACCGGAAGTTCTGAGGGATGGTTGTTGAGTGCTTGCAACGTGATACCATGCAGTCTTCATTTCCCCTCCGGCCCGAACCACGAGAGAGAGAGAGCTAGGAAATCATCCCCTACCGGGAAAGCGCGGTTTCGCTCTGAGATTCAATCAGAGGCTCTTCATTTTTCTCTTTCGGATCCGACAACGATCAATGCCCGGAATGAGTTCCCGCACGTTACCAAAACGCCATATCGAGCAGGAGTAGTCTCGGCTGGTGCTATAAGGCGAAGCCCAATCGCACATGTATCGGTGGCGAGCTCGAAGTGCATACAGACCGCTCACAAGGCTCGGTGCGCGCAGCTTCGTGAACTTGGAATGGTCCCGCCGTCACTCCAACCCCTCTCCCTTTTCGACTTCAGGCTTCATCGTGCTGATAACGTGGGATCATCTCTTCTATCTAGCTATTCCGGAGTAAGCCTTCGATGTTCGAGAACCGCTATGCCTTGTTGCCGAGGGAGTTTATTGGAACCGTTGAAGCCGTTTCCTCTTCCCGGTGGAACAAGACCTGGGGCACGATGAGAAGAGATGTCCTCTTATTTTCCCCATCTTTTTTACTCGATTCACTCCAATGAGATCCCTGGAACATTCGGCGGCCGAAAACGACGGCGCACAGGAAAGTGCACCAGCAAGAACAACAATAACAACAACCATAACACCACGGATAAGAATCGCGAGAAAACAGAGTGAGGAACGCGGCAGTAACGGCCTATGACGAGATTCTTGTTTGCCGAGTTGCCCCACCCGAAGCGTTTGCAGTTTGCAGTCGCTGTCTTCGTTGTCGTTGCGAGCGACGCTGACGCTGCTGCTACCGCCAACACCGCTCTCAGCTGTAAAAATGTTTTCCTCCAGTTGCTTCGCTTTACGTTGCGTATTTAACAGCTCAGCCGAGATCCCTTGAGCGAGACTCCACAGGCGACGGCTGACAGCCACTATGGCGGTCGCCGGGCAGTTTGGCAGAGAGCGGTCAGGTCGAATATCCTGTTCAACCCATCCTTTATGCCAACTCAGGACATGGAACCTGTTTCAGGAGTCGAGCAGGAATCCCGGAGAAGGCGGGCGCTTCCGAAACTATACCGCTAGCAGCACAGCCGTGGCAGTCGCTGCTCCTTCCGCTGTATCCTTGGCGGTGGCATCGATAGTCAGGGAAGATTTAAGCGATACTGGCGGTTCGTTTCCCTTCACTCCCTCTTCTATCGGCTGGATCAGAGCAAGAAAAACGAGTTTGCCACATCAGCAAATCTCGCTGTCAACTTTGTCAACGATTCCCTTTTGCGCACGCTGTCCCTTTCGGGGCTTAATCTTGCGGAATAGACAAGGTTGACACGCTTATAGTCCGTACTGAGCTCAAACTCCGTGCGGGCGAACTGGCTCTAGAGTCTAGACAGAAATGACCTCGCTCGATACCGAACGAAAAAATTATACTCGTCAGTGTAGCCTCTTAATACGGAATTTCGAGAATATTATTAGAGGACCCGGGACTGGACTGATGCGTGAATACTTTGCCGGAATCGTTTCTTGCCGACTCGAAGACTTGACCTAAAGACGAAGCAGACCACGGGGTGACATCCTTCGGTTCGCGGATTAATTGGTACGATAGAGTTTCCACCCCGGGGACGGATCGTCTCAGTCAGTCGGAAACCCTTCCCCTCCACTCCTTCGACGAGGGATGAATACGGGGCCTCTAAGCAACTTAGGAATCTATGTACGCCTTCTCTTGGTAGTTATTCCCCTATGACGCAAGACGCAAGGGCGCTGCCATCGCGGCGCAGGCTTTAAGAACTTCAGACCGCCGGTCCTCGCTAAGATTTCTCCTCGGGGAGAGGAACGGTGGGGACATGGAAGCTCTTCAATAAAAAAGATCAGATTTCATTCTAGTTCCCCCCCGGAGAGCACAGTCAGCCTTTCAGCTTCGGGTGGTGACTGGCGAATCGACGCTCGGAAGATGGGGCAGACAGCGGATCTCAGGTTACAGCGAATTTGAAATGAGAGTTTTCTACCGGAACTTCGCGGAGTAGCGATTATTGGCGTTGGAGGTCGAGCCAACAGATCGGCTCCTATATTCAGCCATACACTCGAATATCAGACCTGACAGGGCTGTGTTCTGGCAGCCCTTCCATGGAGAAGGGAATCCACACTCTCTAATATCGAGAGCATCTCGTGTCAATATTTCCCCGCTGTGACCACGTTCGATATCTCTCCCACGAAAGTCGTCTCGATTTAGAGGCCACGGTCGCGATCAAAATCCCATGTATCAGGTGGTGGGCGATAAAAGGAGGGGAGGATGGCGGAAGCGGGGAGACGAGGCGCGCTGCCCAGTGGTGCAGCTGGCAAGAATCGTTACGCTCCAACTATTCCTGTATAGGAATGCGAAATTCGACGGGGATATCGACAATGTTACGACCACGGCTCCCGGAGAAAATGATGACGAGGACCCAGGTCCTCTCTGAGTTATATTCCGTTGTTTTGGAGAATATGGGGCGAGGATTCCGTGGACTCAGCTTCAAAAAACTTACTCGCAATAGATATACAATACCTTCGAGAATTTATCCTACGCAATCAATTGCAGATCTCAGCAGAAGGTCTGAAGAAGCAACGAAGGGGGAAGCGTCGCGTTCCGTACTCGAGAGATAGCCTGGTCCACATTCACGAGTCTCCGGATTTCTGCGACAGGAACGCCAAGAAGAAGATTCTCGGCACAACCGGTCGAGTCTGCAACAAACATTCGAAAGGATCCGACAGTTGCGACTATCTGTGCTGCGGCAGAGGGGCTCGACGAATCGTGAGTGGCCTGCAAACGTTTCGCTTGTGATCGGTCGAGGCAATCCCGAGCGATTTCCTCTCGCTCGAGGCCGACTCATTATCCTCGAAGAATGTCTCAGAGACTTTGAACTTTCCAGGTCAAACGGATAACTGAACGATGCGACTGTCAATTCCACTGGTGCTGCTATGTCACTTGCAAGCTGTGCGAGAGCCGCACCGAAACCTACATCTGCAAATGAAGACAAACGTTCGCCCTTTGATTCAATCTTGAGGGACTTCAATCCGGTCGGTGTTCGCTCGGGTTAGTTGCTTGCTCTCTGTCTCTGTATGTGCTGAGCAAACAGCTTCGACTTGACTGCGTCGTCTTGATGTGCGCCTCGCGCTGCCGCTACATTGTGATACGCCGGCCCAGATGGTATTTGTATAGTCGTCGTCATCATGCCTGTTTAGAGAGCGAGCGAAATTTTTCCCCCACATTATCTTCATCCAGCGTGAACATTCTCAGAATTTGTGTCCTCAGTCATCGGCCGCCGATTGTGCTGCGGTACTTCCGTGCTGTACATATCCTGTAGGAAGTAATACTCATACCATCGACTCGAGTGCCAAAACACCGGAATCATCCAAATCATCGTTGCTGTGGTAACGGAATCCCCCTTTCTACTCAGCCGTCGAATGGACTTTCGATGATTGTTCCCCGCCCGTCCGCTGGAGTGAAACATAGTAGTCTCGAATGGGAGTGTTGGAGAGTGTATAAAATATTGCTCGTCTTCCGGAGTGTTCCACGAGTCATGTCGTCGATTCCAAATAGCTCCGAAGTAGTCGACGGAGATATCGACATAATCGGTGAGAATGTATTCAGGCGTCTAAAGTTCGCATGTGCCATTCGGTAGTATTTCTTCCCTGAGATACCAGAGTGGAAGACTGTGGAGCAATTGAAGATCCAGTCTGGAGGTTGATCCGTCTCATCCTGAGCGCCCGGGAAAAAAGTCCTGAGAATGCCTCATGATAAAGCTACGATTTGAAATTTCGGATACCATGATGGTCGTGACCCCGACAAGTGTCAATACTTGCGAGCGAGGAATATATAACTAATGAATAATAAATTACTGAATCGTGTATTTCCGATTTTCCTTGTTCGAGAGCGATTCTGGGCAAGGTGCGAGACAACTCGACGGTCTGAACTAAAAAATCCCCTCGATATCAATGGGAGTGTGGCGATCTGCGGCACTCAGTTTTCTCGAAAAGGGAACGTCCTCGTGCGGGCTTCTGGGAAGAATCCGAGCTTTCCTTGGACTCCTAGCTCCTGTTAGTCCCTTCAAAAATAGATGCTCGGAGTAACCCCCATCCACGCGGAAGAACATCTGAGTCGCTCCCTCCATCTGACATCTGACAACGCCATTCGTGAGTCGTATTTTGCGGTGGTCGCGAAATTACTCAAATGTGCTGGTCGTGTTCTGCGACCGATACGGAGCGACACCGTCGTTGAGCGAGGGCCCTCGCGATTTCCTGACGGATGGGAAACCAATGAGTGCTCGTTATTTGGGTCGATCAAGGAAGAATGAGGGGGGTCGGCACCGATTTTTCGACGCACCATATCTGCCGCCAGGCGGTGTGGCTCCATGCAGCTGTCGTCGCCAGCAGCAGCAGCAACGAGGATGTCGAATCCCACTCTCCCCACTCGGATTCTCATCGGGTCTTATTCTATGCTGCTCATCATTCGTCCTTCTGAGCAGGAATTCAAATCCTTGACAGTCAATCGAGTGCCCCGGTGTTCGGTCAAGGCGACGGTAATTCCCAGTCTCGGAAAACGTTACTTCAAATCGATAGCTATTCGGAGAAAACAAGAGCTCCCCGATTCGAGGTCGAGATAAGCAGAGAATCGCTCCGAGCGTTACCGTCCCCTTACGGAATCCGTGCACCGGAACGGGACGACTGAATTCATAGAGAGAGAGGAGCAAGCGCAGAGAGAGTCCGGAACGGGAGGAGTGCGACGTCGGGTTTCCTTGCGCCAGATGTGGCGCATACCTATGTTCTCGACCAAGGCGGGACAGGCAGTCGAGAGTCAATAAAAATCCCATTGTGAAACTTTTATGAAACGAGCAGATAGCGGCGCAATGGAGACGTGCGGCGCAAGAAAATTCCTGACACTCGCTTTGATTATTTTTCTTTGCGATTCAGCGATACTGCGATGTCCTAATTCAGGAGCGTATGTTCTCACTCGACTTCTGCGTTTTCCTCTTTAATCAAGGGAACGTCATAGGGGCGAGGTATTCCCTGTCGCGGTGTCGAAGAGGGATTCACAGCCTCATCGACTCGAGAAAGCAGATTCGAAAACAGGGCCACGTCAGTCATCCGGATGACTTGGGGCATTCTCGCGAGAGCTCAACGCCGGCGAAACAAGCACACTATCAGAGCGACATTCCCGACGGAGAGAAATCGTAACACAGAACAGGCTGAACGAAACTTGCGACGATTACCGGAAACCCTCCTTTGACAGGCACTTCCTCTCGAAAAGGGTTTGTGCCCAGCGCAGTATTCCCGCTCGCTGTCACGTTTTCCGTTCCTCTTGACTCGACAGAGCGCACTATCTGTTTCTCCCGTCGACAACGACAGCCGAGTCAAATGCTGTCAAGCTCAGCTGATTATGACAGCCTTTTAAACCGAGAGTTTATGTCAGAATGGGTCTTCATCCACCAGTTGATGGAAAGCCCCGAGAATCGTAGGCGAATTCTCGGGGGTGCCCTGTGGACCAAGGAGCTCAAACTTCAAGCAGGAAAGTGCACGTTTTCTTCTCTTCACGCAACCCGAACGCCAGAAGACGTAAGCGTCGATGTATTATCAGCCTTAATTGATCGCGATTCAAATCATTTCCGGAATCGAGAGATGATTCGCGCGTTCGGTGCTGAATCGCGGCTCGCAGAACGCATGATGTTGACGCGACCGTGCTCGATTACATTTTTTTTTGTGAATACTGGTTCGGGAAGGCACTCGCGACAAGCGAAAATTCGGGAACATTCTCTGACTCGATCGCGCCCGCTTCATTGTGGTGGAATTAATTCACCGGTTCCCCATCGAGAGAACAAATCTGAGCGGAAGACAAACATTGGCTTTGTGTATTTTTTTCGGATAAAATCGCTCCTTTATTGCCTCCGCTCGTCGTCCCTTTTTTACTCGCGTTTCTCTCCCCGGGCTTAGTTGCCTCCCTATTATTTGTCCCCAACATCCGTCATCCCGTCCCTCTCGAGACTCTGAGCAATGCTGCTCGTCCCATTCGCTATATTTAGGAGCGAGAAACGCACTCTGGATTCTCACCAAATCATCCCGGAACAGCGCCGTTATCTGTGTTCGATTTACTTCGCATCGACTGAAGGAGCGCAAAGTGTGCCGAAGCGGCGGAAAATATCTGCTCGAGATCCAGAGCTGAAAGCCGTTGGTCGCTCCGGCAGAGGATGCAGGCATCTCTTCCAGATCGTTCTTGCCGCGTCGAGATCCGATCGAATGAAGTCCCCATGAGACTCTCCGTATGACCGATAAGACGAGAAACAGACTTTGCCACGAACGATTGACAGATCGAACGACCGAAGAACTGATTGACTGGATGACAGTCACGGTGGCAGACATTTGAGCGGAACAACAAGCGAGAGGGAGCAGACTGTCGACGACCGGCTCGCATCTCCTCATTTCAATAAGATTGACAGATTCACGGACGGCCGACTCTCAGGGCGCGGCTTCCTTGAGCGAGAGCAGTTATCGGAGCGTACAAATCATTCATCCATCTATATATCGTTCGTTCGCACTCGTTGCTCACATCGTCGTAGCTGCGTCGCCGATTCCCATCCGGGAAGGGTGAACGAAGCCGATCGGAGCTTGTGCCGCCCTCGTGGCCTCGTGGGGCGATGCTGGCGAGGCTCTCACTACATCGGTCAACTGCAACGATCAACAAAACCGTCGATATAATACTTGAACTCCAGCAGGATCTTGCTGTGTCCTCGCCCGGCGTGGTGGCGGGCCACGGTGTCGTGTTTGCACTAAGCGCCTTGTTTGCGTTTGCTGAATCCACGACGGAAGATCCATCGCCGGGAGACACTCCCCTCGTTGCCCCGCGCCAAACCTCGGAAAAAGTATGCACATACATACATACATCGCCGCTCGAGCGCATCTGAAGCGGAATCTGTCGCGAGTTGAGGGATTTTCCCCCGGCGGCGCGGCGTGTCTCTCAGACATTTTGCGATCCGTGTCGAGTGTTGAAGGTAGCGAAAAGAATCGACGGAGACCATCATCAGAAAAGCTCCAGCGAGCAGGGACGTCGCTGCGTTTGCCCCCTGAATGCGTGAGCTCTTTCAGCGCGCGTTCCGCGCTCGAGTCAATCAGTATAGTCAATCCGACTTTTCCAGCCATTGGCGATGACGACGCTTCTGTTTCAGTCACTCAAAAGAAAACGGAACGGAATAGACTGACTGATGAGGAGACATTCGCCGGCGGCGTTGAACAATGCCCCTGTCGCTGCTCTCACCCATTCCTGTGCGAGAGAAGCCTCTCGTACGCACTAGGTAGTTCCGCCAACGTTCTTCGGTCAGAGTTGCTCTCTGCTGCTCCATTCAGAAGCGGGTTATTCCAGGCGGGCGAATAATTAGATCGGAGAACAGGACTCGTCCGCTCGAGAATTCAATTCGACTGTCCGGACTCAGGGGGCTGGAATATCGGACGCAGTGGCACAACTCAACCCGGAAACGAGAAGCAGTATCTTATCTTTATTAACAGAAAAGAAGGCTCCCGGTTATTCGGAGAAAAACACAGATGAGAAAAAAAACGTTTCCGACGAAGCTCTCGCCGCCGGATTATTATCAACGCTGATCAGCTTTCGCTCATTTGCCGCAAGAGTCACCGTAATTGCAGCTGCTCGTGGTCTGAACTCGAATCGGAGAGAAGTCCGTGTCTTCGTGTTGGCCAATGAGAGCGTCTTTGATATTCAAATGAAGCCACTCGACAGAGCGCCAGCTCAGTTTGGATAAGTGCGACGACGTCACTGTAGCCAGCTGTGCAGGACAAATCCAGTGAAGCCAGCCAGCGAGCCAGCCATCCACAATCTCACGCAGCTCTCCTTAGCTCGCTCCCTTATTGTATGCAGATCGCGTCCCATATGAGTCCACGCTCGGAGTTGGTCTCGGTGACAGCCTTAGTCAAATAACAATGTCTCCGTGTACATGTGAGCGCTCATGTGCTCTCGATGAAGGTATGCTCGCGCATGATATGCGGAAACCCGACCGAAGCGGAGAATATTCGCCATTCGAGGCCACGAACCTGAGTATACGGGTGGGTATTTGCTGCTCGGATTTCCAGAGCGTCGCGAGGATGGTTTGTGCGGGGTCAACCGTCGGCGACGAGTTCAATTTGCTTTCGCTCGGATTGCTCGCGAGACAAGTGCGCTTGAGCCGGGCTTTAGACGAGATCTTACAGCTTCAAGCAGCCAGCATCTGAATTGTCGCCGTTGTTCGAATCTCAAGCGCTCGATCCGTTCGATCTCGGATTTCTCCACCGGTGTCATTGTGGAGAGCTGGTGGGGGGAAGTCGAACACATCCGACTACGAGCCTGGATACAACTCGCTAGAGAACCGAAGTCAGGAAAGCGTCTCTGAAAATCGCCGGATTTCGACGGAACTCGTATCCAATGCTGCCTCGCAGCGCTGGAGCTCCCTTTCGGTCCGGAACCCCCGCAACCCGGGCCGAGGGGAACTCGAATGGAGAATAGGGGGTGATCTTCCGTACGGACATCGAATCGTTCAGTGGATGAGTTTGTGTCCGGAGAATTTCGCCAGTTCGGATTTTCAGAGGCTGATCTCTTCGCCCTCATGGGAGTTTTTGCCAGAATCGATCGAGAGGAATGCAACACTGGATGTATTTATCCATAGGAAACCATTAAGGGTGATCAAAATCGGCATCTGTGAAACATGAATGACTCGACGTCGCAATGCGAATGGACACGCATGAACGACCTTGAACGCTTCGTCGTAATGTCAGAAAGAGCTTCGATTATGACATGACTGAATGGAACTCCGTAGATACGCTCCGAATCGCGGATCATCTCCATTAGAGAGGAATTTCATCATTTTCCCATTAGTACGTTGCCAGACCGCTCAAGGGAGCCTCCCTCTTGCCGATTTTGCCGCCCGGTCGGAACCGAGGGTCGGGCTCCGGCCTTGTTGACACGACTGGCCTCACATTTCCGGAAGGGAAAAAAACAATCGGAACTCATTGGGATAATTCCTGATTTATGGAAAACTTGAGCAATCAGCGAACAGGATCTGAATTGCGTGAGCGTGGAGTGCATTTGACGGGTAGCCCACATTTCGATCGGAGCACTAATTCCGTGTAGAGCTTGATATCGTCTCGCGGCATCATAGACTGAAGATTATATCTCCGCAGGATCCAAGCTAAGATGATCTTTTCTTCTCGCAAGGCGAACTTTTGTCCTATACAATTTCTGGCTCCCGCTGAGAAAGGTAAGAACGCGAAAGGATGTCGCCCAGCGGATTTCTCCGGAAGAAACCGATCCGGATCGAAGCGTTCCGGCTCTGGAAAATATCTCGGATCGCGATGCAGGGCGAAAATGAAGCAGTATACGTTGCTGCCTCGAGGGACGGTTTTCCCGTTGAGCTGATATTCTTTAGTAATCCTCCGACCGACGAGAGGTACCGAGGGGTAAATACGGAGACTCTCTTTGACGACACACTCGAGATACTTGAGTTGTCGGAGCTGGTCGAGATCGATGTCGCAGTCGTTGTTCTCGATCCCCAAAACCTCATCGAGCTCTTTGTGAATTCTCTGCTGGACTTCGGGATGGTGTCCGATGAGGAACAACGCGAACGACAGGGCCTGGGCTGTGGTGTCGTGCCCCTCGAACATGAAGGTATCGACTTCTTCTCGGATGTCCTCGATCGTAAATTGACTCCTCTTATTGAAGTGTTCCTTGAGCAACAGATCCAGAAAAGGTTTCTTACATTTGAACGACTCGTCGACGTCGAGTTTCATGAGATTCCCCAGTGCTTCCGGATCGTTCTCGAAATAGGCTTGTCTCTCCTCGATAACTGTCTTGCTAAAATGGTGGAGCCGAGCCACAACCCCGTAAGCTTCGGAGCCGCTCGGAGTCCACCGATAGAGCCACTCCGGCCACTGATACGGTGAGATCACTCGAAGAAGTAATAACTCCCCCATTCTCCGCATGGCGTCAAGATAGTCTCGCGTGGCCTCTCTTTCATAAGTGTCCAAATTCACCCCCATCACTGTTTCACAAATTATTTTCAGGGTCAGCGTCTGGATGGGGGGCACGATGTCGTCGTCGATCCTGGACCCGAGCTGTTCCGTGAGTATCCGAGCGTGGTGATTCATCACCGCAGCAAACGAATCGAGTATCTTGAAATGAAATGCAGGAGTGAGCATTTTCCTCCGAGAGCGCCACTTGCTGCCGGTGCTCGTGAGGAGACCGCGCTTGAGCCAAGGGTTGACCATGTCGTAGATGATGAAGGGTTTGCTGATGTTCTCACTATGGCTCACGAAGGCTTCGACTTCCTCGGCTCTGTAGATGGCGACATTGGCTTCGAAACCGCTATAAACCACGAATGAAGATTTCCCTTCTTCCGTCAGCTCTTTCAGAGTTCGGAATACCGATGTGTACGGATCGCCACCGCGCAGATGATCCCTCAAGGCGCTGTAGGCTACTTGCAGGAGCACGAATCCGTAAAAGGGGTCGTAACGTCCGCCGAACTTCCTTATGTAGCGATAGTATTCCCAATGAGGCCGGATGGATTTCACAGCGAACATGAGCAGGAAAACCGCGGCAAAAGATACCAGGACCTCAGTGACGTGAACGGCCCAAGCCATCACGGCGGGTGGCTTCAGCGCTCGGACCGATAGGCACTCTTGGCGATTTCTAGCGCCGCCGTATCGAGAACCACCAAGTCGGAAGTGAAGAGAGCGAAGTTCCCACTTCTCTCTGCTCGCTCAGAGGCTCAACCTTGGACGAGACCCAAGCGCGTGATGACGGAACAACTCTGACGATTATTCTGCAACGGAGCGGCCAATGAACGGCTTAAGAACATCGCGACTCCCCGCTCGGTTCACACGTGGACGTACACGTGCCGGGCCATTTTGATCTTCTCGGGGTTTTTCTTCGAATTTGCTGATCACGAGACCCTGGATAGATGAGAGTGATAATATTTAGCTCAGATAATCGGGACTGCCGACGATGAGGCTCCCGTCAAAGACACACCAGCCCTGCCGTGCGTGAAACGTAATGATTGCGATGATACGAATGTTTTGATCTTTTTGATATGGATGTGAACGATGATAGGGAGAGAGGGATAGACATTTTCTGTGTTTGCATTCCTCGCAATGCTCTCGAGTTCCGACACTGAACAGATCCAGGTGTTTTGAACACGATTACAGGGTCCAGAAAATACGGCGGCCGGTGATCTTTACTGACCATTTTTTCATCTCGGCGAGAGGAGCGTCTCGATGTCATGCGCTGGATTGAGGCAATATTTTTTCTGTGCGGATATCGACGGAGATTACGATCGAGGAATGCTCTCGAGAAGAAATTATCAACTTCATCCGAAGCGGATGTCTAATATTTCCTTCTCATTCGATTATTCAGCCCCTCAGCCTCGCAGGGTCTGCGACCTCACGCGGTATCACGTTTCGCTCAGCGTCGCTCCCGAGAAGATGATCTGGGACCCCGGATAAATTTCATAGGCATCCGTTGAAGCTCTGACCGTGGCCATTCGAAAATATTTAGAGAGGGGCATTGTTCCTTGAGGAATGAAATTAACAAACATTGTATCCGACTGCCACATGGAGGCCCGACCGCTATCCGTTTAGTGGACGCTGGGGAGCATTTACGCGGGCGAGTCCATTGAATACAGGATAGGCTCAACAGCTCGTTTTCGATACCGGATTCACTCGAAGTTGCCGCGACGCGGCTGCTGCTCAACTGCGCAAACAAACTCCCAATGGTGAAGTTATTCAGCTGCCCACGCTGATGGGGAGCGCTGAGTCGTTCGTGTCGCAAAAGAGTGAGGGAGTGAATGGCACGCCCTTCGAGAATCGATCCTGTGGCAGGAGCTCCCACGATCTCAAGAATTTCGTTCTTGGAAAAGAGCCCCCGACGGGATCTGAATGAACTCGACGAAGAAAGCTCTGCCCTTAGGCTCATAAGAAATCCCCAACCTGCCTCAGCCGACAGTGAAAAATCAAGACCAAGCCCCTCCGATCCCGCGCAGGTATCTGCGGGGGGTCGGAACATTACTGATTGGTGCAGCGTAAACAACGAATAGAAAATCGTGATGGAAGACATTTTCAGAACACTTCTAGAACGGACTGAGAATCTCGGACCTGCAGACAAAAAATGGCTCATACAGAGGACGCACTTAACGGCGATGAGAATTGTTGAGAGACTGGAAGGACAGCTGATGGAGCTTTCTGAGAAGCTCTGCCCCGAGCATAGTTTGATGCAAAAACAAAGGAGGCACTCGCCAGAGTGAGGAAATTCCAGTCGTGGTTCTATCGGACCTACGATCTCACGAAATTCTTCAACCTCGATGCCTACCTGTATCACCTAGCGGAACAATCGTCGAGGAAGAAGAATCGGCTAGACCGTACTGAGCTCGTGAAAGCTTTCAATCACATCCATGACAACTTTCTCCCCAAACATCTGGGTATAGAAATTCGAACTGTATCGCTTCCTGTCCACGCCAAGCCAGCCCCTGAGGAGCTGAATATTTCGTTCAAATTAGAGGGGGGGCACTGCGAGGAGAGCATCGATTGTCAGTCGGACGAGTCATTTCATTTGGAAATACCAGTTTATGGAGACAGTCCGCTCAGCATCGAGATTACCGGACCTTGTGAAGAGAAAGTCAACTGTGACGTTGTGAATCTTCTGGCGGCAAGCGGTGTGGTCACGTGGATCGGTTCAGTGGGTTTGGGGCTCCGCATCCGAATGTGGCCGGAGCAAGGCATGGAAAAGCAGTATCAGGAAGAAGCTCGTTCAGACCGAGAGGCTCGAACAGAAGAACTTTGAAAGCTAACCAAAATTCCGAGGACCCACTGAATTCAGTTTCTCGAAGGAAATTCCCCGTCTGCTCGAGACCGTCGGACGTTTTACTTCACTTATCTTGGAAGAGAGCTCCATCTTCGCGGAGGACTGGGTCTGCACGCTCATCAATCATAATTGAATCGTCGGTTCGGCTCTTCCGAAATAGTCGCGGAATGAGCGGAGTCTCCAACACTGCATTACAACTGGGAGAAGGAACCTCCGATAGCAATAAATGGAGGGAAAAACATCTGATAATGGACATATCGTCCGATCCTGCGCAATAGACCGAATATTTCGATGGTTCACGGGTGAATGATTTTTCCTTGAGTGATAAACGAGACATCCGATCAACTGCGTGGCTCGATTACTCCTTACAAGGGCTCCCTGGGATATGGCGCGGTATAAATTGTTCATCTTTTTCCATTTGAAGGACGCCCGAGGTATGAATGATGATCTGAGTGCCAACACTCGGTGCATCGTGTATTGATAAAGGAACTGAGGGCTGTGTCGCTGACACCCTTTTGCTTTGGGCCGTCACGCAACTCGGTGCCCGTCACGACACTACCCCGCACTGTTCCGCGCGCACCTGAAATGTATGCCAATATGTGCACTTAATGTCTATTTCCACGACTTCCCTCTTAAGTACTCGATGCATCATGAGGGTCCATTCCGTGGAGTCCACTGCCATTGGTACGCTGGACCGCGGCGATGCTTGTCGGGATCCCAACTATTCGGAAATGGTGCGTCGAGTTCATTCGAGATGGAAGAGACTCGTTCTGCGGCTCCCGCCAAACACTCATTTTGCGTAGAGATTTCATTGGATAGAGAGCGTTTCGCCCATCATGATGATCCTCGATTTTTCCTCGTTCTTCACATGATCCCAGGCTAGACGCCTCCAGTCTGCTCCGCGTCGTAGTTTTCATCTCTTCAGTGATAGCATTCGTCTACCAAGGATTACAAGTAAGCTGATCGAGTCTCGGCTTATCTATGCTGCGACTCCGAGGGAGGAACTTTCATTGGAAACGTGCTTTCCGAAACCCAGGTAATGATGGACTACTGGAAGTATCCCAGTACTGTCGACGCTCGGACTGAAGGCGAAGGAACTCTCCTCTATCCGGGATTATCTTTTTGCATAACAAACTGGTGACTATCGAAGCTTTGTCTCGGCATGGCGAATTCGCCGAATGTGAACCCTTGGTCTCATCCGAAGTTCCATTGATCTAGGATTGACAAAGCGAAACTCTGCGAACGTTTCGAAGACGCCTGCAACGATACGATCGAGGTACGTGTAGCACTTCTGGCGCGATCGGGGTAGAGAATCGTTTTGAGACTTATCCACCGTATCACGGCTCTCTGAGACTTCGGCAGAGAGTGTCGAACTCAGAAGCAACCAAGGTTTCGCGTAGTTTTTCTGTGTCTCAGAGAGTATTACGTCTTGTTTGCAAGCTGTCCTTGATACAAAACATCGTGATGACCGAAGCGAATCTGTCGGAAATAGCCTTGGATCCAACAAACATCCTTCAAATCGGCTTTGTGAATCCCGCGCAATACTATTTCGAGTTTTATTTGAATACTGAGTGAGTATGCGTCGGCTACGTCGGAAGACCTGTATCTGGGAAGGCTTCATACCTTGGGACCTCAGGAACGATCGCTCCTCAACTAGGTATCACGTTTTGCGTCCGTTTCCCTTGAAGTAATGGCGCTTTAGAACTTTCCGATGCCAATAGACTCCATGTCTTCTGGTCGAACGAGTGGTTTGAGGATTGGGACCTGGGAGCCGGATCGCACGATGGAGGAATTCATGGGTTCGGAGTTACGCAATTGAAATTTTCACTTAGAGCCCTAGTCACTTTTTTTTCGGTCGATCCGGGCTCTCAGCTTTCGGCACGGATGATATCGAAAATTGATTGCATCTCTCCCTCAGCATCACTCAAGTATCGTACTCCATCCTACCAAGCCATATGTGTTACACCATGAATTGGAGAACAGACACTAAAATGGAAGCTGTACATCAAAACATCATCGCTTTCGGTGGGTCTCTCTGCTGAAGAATATGACTCGGAGAGTCAGAGAGCTCGATTAAGAAAATCGTCAATAACCCAATCAGAGATGAATATGATGGTGTCCTGGCCGGACGATGAGCACATTCAGACGTCGCCCTATGAGCTGACCCTAGGCTTTCACTACGTCGATACGAACACGGCGGGACAGAGGCATGCCATCGTCTTACGCCCGTCGGGTGACTACGTGTTCGGAGTGATCCAGGAAGGCAAGCACTCTCGACTGAGGTTTATGTTTCAATGGAAACTCTTCTTCCCCCTGACGTCCTTGCCGAGCCCTCCCCTGAAACTACGCCTGCACCCACAGGGACCCGGACATTGCCACCGCCGTATGACACTATGTGCCGGAACTATACTGAGACGCTCACTTTCGACGACGGATACACGGTGAAATCGTCCCGAGACGTAAGCGAACGGGGCCGGAATCCTCCGTTGCGGAGCGGTTGATATAAATTCTGTTGAGGAGCCTGGAAGGGGCTCCCTGACATAAGGAAGCATTCTGTGGTAACGAAGCGAAACCCTCTCCTGTCCCCAGATGTGCAACGAAGACTGCAAAATGCAGGTGGTTCTCCGGGTTTGCGGGTGTCTCATGTCGAACTACATCTACAGGAATAAAATTAGCGGGAACGTCTGCGACGCGAACGCGACCGAAAACTGCGTGCAAGGTTCGGCGGCTGACTCAACGCCAGTTTCCAATTCCGAAATTACGCTCTGAATGTAAAACAGGAGATTCGTTTCTTATTCAGCTCATGCCCGGGAAATGTACACCAAGATTTGTCCGACCGAATGTCCCGCCGCCTGCAGAGAGGACACGTACAAAGCAACGCAGTCCATCTGGCGTCAAATCGGATCGGATGACAACGAGTGAGCTTTTGAATCATTCATTGCTTGCCGATTTGTCAGAACACGAAAACGTCCGTCCCGGGTCCAGTCGAGAAGAGGGAAAGGAATGGATAGATGAAAATTTTTTGGACGGGAAAAATCCTACCGTCAATTTGTTCCCGTCTCTTCCAGTCTGAAGTACGTGAATGTCAAAGTTATCGTGACGTCTCGTCAAGTCGATGTCCTGCATTTCGTTCCCTTGTTGACGGTGGGTCCCTTGAAGGTCCATTTTTCTCGGTCCGGAAGAAATTTAAGACTGTCACAAAGTTCTCCGGGGAACCTAATCGATCGCTTTTCCCGACAAGTCCACCCAGATACTCGGGATCATAGGAGGTTACATCGGTTTTTGGATGGGGCTCTCGTTCTACAAGGTAGGAGCCCTTTGTGCCAGGAAAGTTCAAGTCAACGCCTACCAGATGTTTTCTATCTTGACAATCATGCATTACCTCGTCGTTCATAAGTCATTCAAAACGGTACGTGTCTGGGTCGTGGAATCCAATGGGCGACGTGCGTCAAAGGGAAGAATTCTCGCGACGGGCCCGACGCGAGTCTGCTTCCACTCAGGCGTTCCCGCTTTCCTACTGCAGTGTCTCCTGCTGAGTACGATAATTGCATGCAGCGTGAGTTGCATCCGCGAGTTCCACGAGTACAGAAGATATCCTACTACGGTCTACTACTCTCAGGACTCAATAGACAGAGCCGCCTTCCCAGCGACGACTGTTTGTCTTCTTGACGGGTAGAATACGTTCCGCAATGGGACCGCCCACGACGACACCTGTCGTGCTTGTCACCACGCCACAGTTCTCATTCAGCTCGTTCTTAATGATCCTCATAGTCGCTGCATATTGGGTATGATTTCGTACCTATTGGTGACTTTGGTCGTGAGCAGGGTTTTTTCCTTTTCCAGAATTAACTACAGCGATATATGCTCTACGTACCTGGGCGAGAACTGCGCGAACAGAGAACCTAATTTCGTGGGTACACCTTTCAAAACACCACCACAAATTAATAGATTGCCAATCGGAGGAGAATTTCCACCGGAGTCTCCCTCACAACAGGAATCCATGGTCGGGAACGACATCGTGCTCATGAAATTCATAATTAACTTCACCTACCTCGCCGAAGAAGTTGTGAGCGACTGTACGATGGAGTCTCGATCGGATCTCTGCGAATCCTTCGATTGCACCGACCTATGGAATCGAACTTTCACTTACGTGAAGACAGGATCCTGCTACACTCTGGACATGACCACGCTGCCAGATCATACGTTCTGGAAGTGTAAAGAGCAGTTCAAATACAGTGAGTGAATGGTCTGTTATCCGTTCACCTCTCAAGACGTCGATACAATGTCGGCTTTAGCGTTCCTCTGAAACTCCCAAATCCTCAGATTTGAAGTTCAAAGTGAGGAGCTTCGGTGCCAAGGTCGGCGGGGGTGCAACGATGACAGCTCTGGTTCATGAACAGAACAGATACACATCGGGAATAATCCATTCCTTCCGATTCGAGCCCGGCAGGAAATACTACTTGACAGTGGCTCAGGTATTGCGAGAGGTTTAAGTCGTTGGATGTATTATGTACGATAATCTCTGACTGAGGTCTAGTCCCCATCCGTGATATTTCGCAGTCTCACCTGGTGTCCTTGCCGAAGCCCTACGAGTCGGGCTGCGTGGATTACGAAAAGGACGGGAGCAACGAGCGTTTGTACCAGCGTTACATAATTCAAGAGGAAGAGTGCTGCGAAGCTTGCGTGGCTGCAACTTGGATCAAACACTGCGGTTGTTTCTCGAAGATGTACGCAGTGAAACACAAGATGACTGAAAATGTGTGCGATTACGTCACCCATTGTGAGTCAACTTCCGTTTGAGTTTCGAGCGATGGGGACTATTCACTCTTTCGTCCCCGGAACTCCAATTCTCGCGAAATGAGTCGAACTCTCCTCTGAGACTCTGGGGTCATGGAACTCTCCGGATCGAGAATTCCTCTAGCCAGACGGGATGATCTGGAATTTCATATCGATGCCATCCGACAGTGAAATGCATCGACCGAATGATTCAACACAAGTGGTCCGTGGGCTGTCAGGGTCGGTGTACGCAAGGTTGCAACGACAAGCGTTATCGCGGTCTGATGCACCAGATCGGATACCTGAACACTCCCGAGGGCATCCCGAGGTGAGAAGCACTTAATTTCGGAATCGGAGTCAGTCCGGACAAAATCCGCCGAAGAACATTATGCGTCTAGGAACACTTGGCTCCGCTGGAGGACATGCGCGGTCCCGTGGCCCCGGAATTCCCGTTCGAGCGTCCTGTATCGGTACAATGGGATTTTTTTTCATCCACAGCTCTGACCAGTGTGAGATAAGAGTTTTCTTGGGATCGACCAGCGTCAAGAGAGTCACGAATTTAGCGAAGATCAAGGTGAGTAGGAGGCCGCTCAGGAGAAGGATCAGTCGGTTGGGTCTTTTAATTTCGCGGCAGATTTTTCGATACTTGAGGAAAAGGTAGGAATCGAAGTCGAATTCATGTATCATCGCCAGAAATTCAGTTGATGACATTCGTTCCCAGCTGTCGGACTTCATTCTTTACTTAAGTGGTCATATCACAATGTGGCTCGACGTCTCCATCATGGGATCGGCCCCGGACACCATCCTGAGCATGATGCGCCATTTCCAAAACACATTGTTCAGCATATGAGCTCCCGACTCTATTCCGACTCCCAACGAGTGGTACGCTGACCCAAGCCTGTCTCACGATCACGGCGGATTCGAGTGTCCGCGGAGTTTATAGTACTTTCTTCCTTTGCCTCGTTAACATTTTATTCTTCAGGGGGAGGATTCTCCGCTCATTTCGTGAGAATAAAGAAAAAAATGACCGGGATATTCGTCATTTCTTGAATTTATTCTGGAATTACGAAAATATATTCACGCTCGAGTCGCGGGCAGCGCATCTGCCTGGTCGAACGCTGCCGTACTGAGACCACCTTCAGAGAACCGAGATGAAACAGGAATCACTATTTGTCAAATCTGCTCGGCAACAATGCCTCGTCCTTCCCTCTCGGTGCTCTTATGGGCGGGGTTGGATGTTCGGAAGCTCCGACGATGACTCAAATTCAATGTGTGAAAGGGTTTTGGGACGTGATGACGAATTCATTGATCCAAAGCATTCAAATCGGAAAAAAATGGCAATCCGGAGGGAAGAGATGGAAATCGGGAAGAATTGCTCCGAAGGCAAATTCGAAGAGCGGGCCACATCGAAATCGGTTCCCATCGTCCACATCACGTCACCGCCGGGCCGTATGCGACTCAGTGAGATTTCCAGTCCGTCAGATAACGAACGAGCTTTTTCCACGAACAAGATCCAGAGTTCTGTTCACCGCCCCGAATATCATCAGTGAGGTTGCTCAGCAACGATGGGCTTCTCTTCTTGTGCGGGAGTGGGGGCAGTAGAGCCATCGCCATTGAAGCTGTACAAACTACTGCTGCGTGACGAGATGCTCGATCTAAGGGGGAGGAATACCGTAATTGATTACACCTGGAGCCGCATAGTCGGAAGGAGGATTGATTTCATCACGACCACGAACTTGAAATCGAGACTAGACGCAGGTGACCTTACCGGACATTGGTGTAAGCAGAGCCCATGCGTTCTTCGATCGACCGGTACGTAGGCGTATTCTTCATCTCGCCGAGTTTACGCCCGATGCTCCCAAATAATTGGTTGGTCTTCTCGCCGGCAACCTTCACAGCGTCAGTGGTCTTCTGGTAGCTGAAACCGAGGGATTGGAATCAATTTCCTCGAGCTGAATGGCAGGTCGCCGCAGAGGCCAGCTCTCACGATGGGTCAATGGAGATCGGGAGGTCATTACCGAAGAATTGTGAATGTTTGAGAGACGAAACTCACGCTTGGGTTTCTTGAATATTCCTCAGCGACTGCTCCATATCGCTCTTGAGGTCGCTAAGTGGACTGATCCCGAGTTTTCTGCGAATTTCCTGAGCTTTGTCCTGCTTAGACAGCAGAACCGCCCTCAAAGTATCCATCTCTCTCTCGAGCTCGGCCAGCTGAGCCCGCAGTTCTTCTTGCTCCATGGCATTGGCCGGAGCCGATGATTCAGTCGCAGCTGTTGAGAAGAAAAAAGCAATCAGATCACGATAGCCTGATATCGAAGAAGTACTTCGGAGTATCCTCAACGAGATTGAAAGAGATCTTGATCCACACATCCCGCTCCCGAAAATGAGTACAATCATAGATTACAATCACGTCCGGTAGCCGTCAAGCTCCGACGACATGGTCGAGCTCGGGAACTTCTAGCGGAAAAGAAGTCCCCGCAGCGGACGAATGTCTAGGGTTAAGAAGGATTTTTCACTCCGTGGTCACTCCGCAAGAATCTCCCTCGTCGTGGACGGACGGGGGGGAAGAAGGACAGCGGCGGAATCACTATCACGCGTACTCATCATCGTGGGTCGACTGTCTCCGAACGGAAGCCTAGTGCGGCTGCAGTGGGTGCTCTCAACGGGTGACTGTCCCGGAAGAGATCACTTCTCCTCGCAGTTAGCCGTCCGCTTTACCGGTTGCTCTCTCTACCACAGGGTATACGCTTTGTTGACGGCAAACTGTAGAATTCACGTCCGCCTCGCACCGCGGTAATTGCACAAATCTAGCGTCGTCAAGGCTTGTGGATTTTGAGCTTCGATTCGACAAAGGATGTGCCTTAAACTAACGTACGGGAAATTCTTTCCATCGGAGATCGGGTTCCCGGGCCTCACTGAGACTGCTAGACGATTGGGTCGATGCTCGCAATGAAGCGCATTAAGTTGCTGGCTGATCAAGACTCTCTTCCGCGATCAGGGGAAAGGCTCGCACCCTTCTCTCGGGATGCATGATACTCTCGTGATCTCCTATCGAGACGCACTGCTTGTATTCCCCGAGAAGGAAGATTTTGCTTCCAGCTTTCGAACGACGAATGACGTATAAGGGGGGTTCTCTGTGGTTTTTCTACTAAGAACCGGGTCTTTCGAGAGCGGATGTGACTGTGATTTCGAAACCTTATTCTCGGAGCATTTCGTTCGCAAGGAGTCGTACCCATCCTCGCCGCCGACAGGTTTATGTGGACTGTAGCAATCTTCGATTGGTCTAACGACAACCATTACGTCTTCATCGACTCCACGGTCGAATTTCATCGACGATCACAATGACAGTCAGATTGACGGCTATTCTTTAATAAGCGAGCGAGCGGCGGTAGAGCGAAAATGGAATATTATTATCGGACAAGTGACATAGATTTCCGCATACTTGGCAAATTGAGCTCGACAGGGTGATCCGCTGGGCTCGCCATAATGTTCCCTCCAACAGAAGCGCAACGGAATGTTATTTCCGTAGCACCACAATTCGACGTTGAGGTCGACCGCTATTTTCTCAAAGGGTTTCTCTTGAAGTCTTCCAACCGATGCAGTCACCAAGAACACGGCGCCACACATGCAGCACCGATACAGAGCGCGTTGGTGTGTGGGATTTTTCGAATCACTTCGCCGGCGATCGGCTATTGCCTCGAGCGGGCATGAATGGAGTGAAGCGAGCCGCTGAGTCGCGATCGCGGGATTTTGAAGCGATGACGATTAAAATTTCGAGAGCAAATCACGGAAGATGAATCGGATGAAGAATATCGTTCCACGACGCTCTAAACAAAATCTCCGTTGACGTCGTTTTCGGGCTCGCGGGGACATTGTCTCACCTGCAGACAACATTTCCGACTCGGAGCGCGGCGGAAACGACATTGTGGCGTCGCGGGATCGAGATCCGGAGAATCGCTATTGACTCCCGATCCTGGGCAAGGCAGCCCGTACAAAGTTCCCGGGCATTCCCGCGCGACAGACCGGAGCACGGAACGGCTCATGAGGGAACATACGAATGAGAAATTCGACCTCGATTCCCACTAGTCGGACACCCCCAAATGACATGATTCTGCAAATTGATGACTACGTCGAGTCTAAATGGCTCCGATACTTCAAGCCCTCGTCCTGACCGACCCTCGGAGGGACCTCTATCTTACCACCAGGGCCCTTTCGAGACCAGCTTGAAGGAACCCGCACCCATCATCGTACTGCAGACTCCGAGCCTCGGATATTTCTCCCTCACCGTGCGACTGCTTTTGAGCTGGATTATTCACGACAATACACTGTGATTCATCTTTGTTTCTGGGTGGAACACGAATGACGTGACGTTCTCTTTCAGGGCTAAGTACAGTCAAGTTTCCGCTGATCGTATCGGGGGATCGAGTGCTGAGCGGTGTACTCGGGCTCGAGAGCGAAGTCAGGGAGGGAGTGGAGCCGCGCATTATCCAGGTTCTTGATCTGATCCTTCAGGGGAGATACAAGCTTCGAAGCCCGAAAGAGCGAGCTTGCCGCGCGAGAGACCTTCGTCGATCCCGGAGGAGTACGGAACCGTTAAGAGAGCGCGACTTCCTCGCTGCTTCTTCCGTATCCTCGCACCAGAGAGCTCTTTTTGTGCTCAAGCGGACATACGGAGCACATCATTTGACGATTGCTTCCGACTTGATCTATGTAAGCTTCCGCAGTCTGCGAATTTCACGAAATCGAGATATCTGCAACTCAGTCAGAACACTTCGCGTACTTTCTCGAGCTCAGACGCAGGACGGGGACGATAATCATTACATCCTCCACCGAGCGAAACCGCCGATTGAGGTAGATTTCTACCTGATATCAATATCTTCCAGGATCGAGGGCTCTACCTATTCACTCACGGTTCAACGATGGCATATTTCCTGTTCTACTCGTCCGCAGCGATGATGCGGCTTGTGTGGCGCGATTGGCGAATCGTAGAGCATGCGTTCATTCGCAACCGCGTTCTGCGAGCGGATAAACAACACACTCGGTCGGGAGAACGTTTCGGTCAAGGTGGAGTGTGAGTTGTGTGTATGGACCGCGGTGCGTCTGTGTCTGGGGTTGCGAAGGAGACATTACTTTGCAGAGGACAAAGTAGTGTGCTAACGAATTCTAGTCTCCGAGCAAGCCCTGAAGCTTCTGTACCTGAGAGCTCCGTCTTCTGATTGTCGCACATTGGGGAAATTCTGTTCTCCTCCGTTGCAGCGGCCGAATCGGCAACTGGCAGTTCAACTGACGTAATGTTCGACGCAGCGTGAGCACCTATCACATTTCAGCGACGGTTTCTCGACAGGACCGATCGCTTTCCGTGGCCAGAGCAGAATTTGATCGACCAGTATCATCTCATCAATGTGCCAGAAAAACTGTCGCGGTGATTGCGACTGTGAGTCTCAGCCCATGGGGGGTGGGCAACGCGGAACGAAATGCGATGTTCGCATTTTGCTCGTGGGGGAGCCCGGAGTCGGCAAGACATCTCTCATCCTCAGTTTAGTGGGTGAGGAGTTTCCCGAGGATGTACCCCCGCGAGCCGAGGAGATCACCATACCAGCCGACGTGACGCCCGAGAAGGTTCCCACTCATATCGTCGACTTCAGTAACCAGGAACAGTCGGCAGAAGAGCTGTCAGAAGAAATTCTAAAATCAAATGTCATCTGTATCGTGTACTCGGTCGTCGACGATGACACCATCGACCGCATCACCGATTACTGGCTCCCTCTCATCAGGAGAGTCCTGGGAGAAGAGCACAGCACTCCCGTCGTCCTCGTCGGGAACAAAGTCGACCTGGTCGAGTACTCCTCGCTCGAGCTTATTCTGCCCATCATGAATCAAAACCAGGAAGTGGAAACCTGCGTCGAATGCAGCGCGAAAACACTGAAGAATATATCCGAGTTATTCTACTACGCCCAGAAGGCCGTCCTGCATCCTACAGGACCTCTGTATGTACCTCACGAGCGAGAACTGACGGACAAGTGTAAGCAAGCGTTGACGAGGGTTTTCCGAATTTGTGATTTCAATAATGATGGAGCGCTCAACGATTTCGAGCTCGACCGCTTCCAGCAGAAATGTTTCAACACACCCCTGGAGCCTCAGGCCCTACAGGACCTCAAGGCGCTGGTTTCCCGTCAACTTCCCGAAGGTGTTCGAGAGAAGGAGGGAGATCCGAAACAAGGAGGTCTGACATTGGCGGGCTTCCTTTTCCTGCATAAGTTGTTCATTCAGCGCGGCCGTCACGAAACAACGTGGACGATCCTCCGTAAATTCGGTTACGACGATTCTCTCTACCTGAGCAGAGAGTATCTGTTCCCAAAAATCCGAGTTCCTGCCGGAACGACGACCGAACTAACAGAGAAGGGCCACAACTTCCTGAAGATGCTGTTCGAGAAGCACGATCTGGATAAAGATGAAGCTCTGTGTCCAAACGAGCTCGAGCAGCTGTTCTCCGTCTGTCCGGTAGTTCCGTGGGGTCCGGAACTCATCTATACTGTGGCCACGAACGAGAGACGCTTCTTAACCAAGTCGGGTTATTTAGCGATGTGGACTTTGACAGCGGCGCTGGACGTTACGAAAGTGATGGAATATTTCGCCTACCTTGGATTCATGTCTGTGACAAACGCTGAGAGTCAGCTCGACGCGGTCACCGTCACTCGTGACAAGCAGCTCGATTTGCAGCTGAAGCAAACAATGCGGAACGTTTTCCACTGCCGTATCATCGGTCCTCAAGGCGCGGGCAAGACGTCGTTCCTCCAAGGATTTCTAGGTAGGACCGCCCAGGAAACAGATGAGATTCCCCGGGCGCATCTGCCCCGCTACACGATATCCTCAGTGCCTGTTTACTCTCAGGAGAAGTTCCTGGTACTTCACGAAATCGACATATTCAGCATGCACGATGTGCTTACGCCACCCGAACTGCACTGCGACGTCGTGTGTCTGTTGTACGACGCGTCGAATTCCAAGAGCTTTGAGTACATCGCCCGAATATATAAGAAGTACTTTGAGAAGAGTCGAGTTCCGGTGCTTGTCGTGGCTTCTAAGTGTGATCGGAGTCCGGTGAAGCAGGACTACTCGGTACAGCCAGAAGAGTTCTGCAATTTGCACAAACTTCCGCCGCCCCAAATGTTCACCACAACCCCCGCGACGGCCGGCGAGCCTGCGAAAGTATCCCGAGATATTTATATCCGTCTCGCCACCATGGCGGCTTATCCAAATCTCAAACGACTGGTCCATGTGCTACAGAGCCGCCCCAGCTGGATAGGGGAGTACACGAACCAGATGATGGAGCTGCCGCCCGAAGTCACCGCCTGGATGAAGGTCGGCCTGGGGGCTGCGGCTGTAACAGTGATGGGACTTCTACTCATGAGAACCTTGAAGAACGCCAACACTGCGAACTGAGCTTGACACACAGCATAGTGCATGCGATTCGAACTCCGTCTAGAATTTCGGTCGTCAAATGATGATGATGATGATGATCAGGAGAAGGAGGAATTATAATCTCAGCGTGCTCATTCGTTCGATCCCTCGTGATCAACCGATTGAATGGAGCGGATCTGACACGAGCAAAAAACGATCCTCTCAGCAGAATGTAGTTCCTGCCACAGATGTCATCGCTTGAAAGTGAGAAAGAGAGTATTTGCTCCTGGTGGTGAAGTGGCGGATCCAGAAATTCTGTCCCGGAAAACCCGGAGTGGCGTAGTACTTCTCCGATCTTTTTCCGACTTGGGAACTCCACAAACAGCTCTACACTTATGCGACAAACTTGAAGCGCTCCGCTCACTGAAACGAACACAGGCACACAAGAGACAGAAGCGAGACGAATCGAACGTTCATCGACTTCACCTTTAGACTTATAATTCACCATTCGAACTTTTGGTTGCTTTCTGACTGGCGCTAAGACCGAAGAGGTCATCGACTGCGGAAGGAACCAGATGAAAGTTTATTAAGTCAGGCTTGCTCCTGCTAGTTGTGTAAACCGAATCTACGATAGTTTATCTTAGAAGCCAAGGCAACTTGAACAGGATCGAGCAGCGCTCAAAAACGCCCCCAACGAGGAATTCCGCGGTTCCTATCGGAGCCGCCATCGAACCATGCGTTCAGGAGCTAGAATCCCCCACAGATGGACTTTCTATGTGTTCAACTTCGTAGAAAACCGTAGAGCGAGTCAATTACAAACGATCATTCGTTTAAGAAATGTTCCTTTGTACTACACTGTAAATACTGACATTTAAATAAATTCTGAGGTGAACGGAAGTTGTCGAAATGGCCATGTCATCATTCCTCTTCATCCATTGATTGAGTGCATAGAATCGGCAGCGTGCTACTTCGGCTCTCGCGGTCGCTATCTAGGCGAAAATTCCTCGGCTCGCTCGGGTGGATTGTTCCCCGACGTGAGAGAGTCGGAACCGAAGAATGCTACAGCAATGCTTCCGTCTTGACGCGATGAAGGCTTGGGCCCATGGCAGGTAGGCGTTAATGGGCAACGCGGTGAAGAGCGATCGGAGACCCTTGTGGAGATGAGAATACAGACAGCTCACATCGGCTGGTAATAGATCGGCAAGCGCTGTTATAGAGTAGAAGCTGCAGATCAGATCTGCTCTACGACTGGAGAGGCTCATGAGTGCTTGCTAAAAATAAATATGAATGCTCAGCTGATCCGAAACCTTGGAATGTCATTGAGCATTCGTAGTGCAAGTTCTCGAATGATCTCAGGCTCGAATCTACAGGCTCTTTTCGGCGTTCGAACGAGCAAGTATCGAGTAAGTATTCGGGATGATAGTCGGAGTATTAGAGCACGGAAACTCCAGCTCAGAGAAATCAGAGGATCGTCTGGAAAACAATCAGTTTATTCAAACTCTTTTCATGTCGGTGTATATATTCTTTATATAATGGATGGGAAGGAGGCTAAATCAGTTTCGATTTGACAGTTTGTAATAGCGTACTCATTCACTCGTAGGAATGTAGTTTCACCTTGATGCGCGGATCGAAAGCAGTTGATCTCTCCGTGCATGGAGCTCGACCTGACCCCGCAACACGATTTCTGAATGATACACCTTCAAAAACATTCAAAATCTCATCACCCAGCTCCCGGCTCGCGCCCGGGCCCACCGAAATCTATACTATTCGTGTATGAGAAGCACACATACATGTCGAATCGTGACAATGGTGACATCTCGGCTTCTCCGGGTCACCAGCTTCTTTCAGCTTGACCTCAGGCTATGGGAGAATGACCAGATAGAAATGATGGATCCGAAAACAACAGAATTATTCGGCAAGATAAGCACGGCGGGAGTCGAGGCGGGCGAGGCAGTCCACCATGCCGATAACGTCGTTGGAAGTATCCGACATCGAGTCCCGCACTTCTGTTGACCAGACAGAAGTACTGAGCACTCTTTTAGCACCGTGTTTCAGCATGGTCCTCTCCCGCTGCTTGATCGGCGCCACTGCTCCGAAAAAAAGCGGACTTCTGCGTTTTGAGCCCAGTCCTCTTGAGAGACCGAGTAGCGAAGGAGCCCCTCAGGCGTCCTGGATCTACACGGCAAGTAATCAAATCATGGGAATCGTCGAAGAGGTGCTGAAAGAAGACCCTTGTGCTCTAATAAACCCGCCGCGTGATCGGCATCTGATTCGGTCGCGAGCACCGTTCTTCTGCTTGACTGTCTCTTTGTCCGCTCATAATTCGAAGCTTCTACAAAACTCATCAATCATCCATATACTTCTCTCATTTGAGCTTGTTCATTTGATTCGCAAGCCGATCGCTCCGTCCGCTCAAATTTTCTAGCCTATCAAGCAACTCGTGTCCTCCAAGTTCCACTGTAAGACTCGATATCGAGAGATACGTCAGCTGCCATCCTGATGACAGCGTGGACGGTACAGAGTCCTTGCAAAAGGAGAGAAGTCGACGTGCTTCTGGGAGCACCGGCATAGCGGATCGATCCTATCTCGCGTTGCTCCTGAATTGTCAAAAATCAGCTTGCTATGAGTGGCACGTGTGTTTCAGCAGTGTATCATATACTGTAGACTCGGAATAAATGGAGAACCCCGTGTGAAGCGGTCGCGGCTATCTCGCAAGGCTTTCGCTCAGGGTTTCTGTCTGTGCCTCGGCTCGGTGAATGTAGATTTGCTCTGCATGTAGAAGAAGGCTCTGCGTGTTCTCTCATACTCGGTCAGAGAAGAAAATTGAATATTGCTGTCTCATTTCACAGGTGCACGGGTTTTAAATGGATGGCTCCGTCGATTGAGCCTCATTGTCCGTAGGTCTTCGGGAGCAAATTTCGTTTCAGAGCCCCGCGTAAGAAACTGTCCATGAAAGTCTCACTGCTCCTCTTACGATCGTAATTTTTGCGTACGGGAGCATGCTCATCTGCCGTCGAATAGACTTCAAGTACTCGACCACCGGAGCGCTCTCTGCAGTGAATTTACAGGCGGAGGAATGTTCGCACTTGGGAACACTAGTTCATTAGCTGAATCGATCGCTCGGTTTGTCGAGTTATAAAGATGACCAATTTATATTAAGAAGTTCAGTCAAGAGGAGTTTCCCTAATAAGTGCTGCTGTAGGTAATATATTCATCATCAGTCTTCCGAAAAAAAAGTTCTCGATAACAGTCGTCTCTCCCGTTCGTCTGCTGCAACATGTCCCATGTTCTCGTCCTTGTCTCTCTCGTTGGCATTGCGATACATTGTGGAGTACACGTAGTAGTGATAGTAGTAGGTTGAAGTCACTTGGCATCATTGCAGACAACGAATCGATTCTCATTCGCCCTTCTGTAGGGGGAACGTCGCTGTGCTTCCGCCGCGACAGGGGAAAGCGAAGAAGGCTTCTATTGGATCTGCCCGTCTTCGGAACTTGCCAAGCTGTCGTCAGGCAGAGAAACGGGGCTCTCGTCGCCCCTCGAAGGAGTAGATCCCTTGAATAGTCCGCCACCCGCTCGGCGCAGTTTCGCCCGGGTGTTGTTCAGGTCTGCCGTCAACTTGTCGTTCTGCTCCTGGAGCTCAACGAGTTCTCGTTGCAGCTTTCTTCGATGGGCTTTCTCTCGAGAGTTCTCCTCATCGATCTCTTCGAACTGCCTCTGTGCAGCTCGTAGCCGTACAGACATCTTTTCCAGCTGATCCTTGGTGTGCTCGTTGTTGCTACGCTCTTCATCCACCTGGAAGATGCGAATTTCAATAAATTCCCCTCAACTACCGTTAGTGAATAGGTTGGTATCAAGAACATTTGGGAAGCTAAGGAAAAATTCGAGGGTCTTCTCCTCTCGCTGACCTGGCTCACGGCGTCTCTCATTCTCTTCTCGAGCTTTCTGGCTAGCCTCTGGGCGGTCTGCTTCTCTTGCTCGGCGAGGTCGAGCTGTTCTTCGAGTTTGGCGTTTCGCGCTTCGAGTTGAGCGGTAGCGCTTTTAATTTTGCTTCGCTGAGAAGTCTCGGCTTCTTGAAGTTTGGCGCGCAGTTCTTTGATTTGGCGCTCCAGAGCGGCGTTGGAATTCTCCAGTCGAGCCGAAGTGTTCCTTTCTGTCGCCAGCTCGGCATTGACGGTCTCGACCTGGTTTTGCACCTTGCGCATTTTCTCGACGAGGATCTCTCCGTTGGATTGTTCCTCTTCGAGATCCTCTTCCAATTGGTTGATCTTAGCTTCGAGTTTCTTCTTCTCTTCAGCCAAAAAGCTCCCCCGACCTCCTGTGGTCGAGAGCTCTTCTTGCAGATCGTTCCGTTCGGATTCGGCGGCGCGTCTCGCCCGCTCGGACGACTGGAGATCTTCCTGCAGCTGGACGACTTCAGCCTCGAGCAGCTTGGCTCGCTTCTCGGCGTCCTTCGCGTTTGCGATTAGCTCTTCTTTGCCGGCTCTAGCCTCCTCGTAGTCTCGTTGGAAGTCTTTCAGTTGAGCTGCCATCTTCTTGAAAGCCCGGTTGGCGTCTTCCTTACTCTGAAACGAGAGAAAGACTGGTTGGATCAAATTGCCAACTTCCGACTTCTGCCTGAAATTCAGGAACCAAGAAAACCTTGTTTTTCGGCAGAAGAAATTAATTCGTAGAACGCGTACCTTGTTGGCCAACTCGAGTTGGTGCCCCATGTCGTTGATGTCGGCTTCGAGCTTCTTGCGGTGAGCTTGGGTAGCGGACCTTTGCTTACGCTCCTCGTCGAGTTCGCTCTCGAGGTCGCGAATATTCTTCAGGAGATTTCTCCTCTTCTCCTCGGCCTGGTCATCCCTGGCGGCCATATCTCTCTCGAACTGGGCCTTTATTGCTTGCAAGTTTACTTCCACGCGCAATTTCGCATCCTCGGACAACTGAAGTTCGTCCTCGAGCTCTTCGAGGCGTTGCTTCTGAGCGGTCAATTGACCTTCGAGGTTGCGTTTGGCTTTTTCCAACTCGTGAAGATTTCGGTCGGCGCTGCCTTGTGTGCTCATCAAGGACTCGAGCTCAGCCGCCTGCGAACGCCGTGCGGTCTCAAGCTGTTCTATGAGAATTTCTTTGTCTTCAAGGTCGCGGGTGAGCGCTAGAAGTTTCGTTTCTTTCTCGCGGCACTCTCGCTCGGCTTGATCTTTTTCAGCCAAGACGCGTTCCGTGTGGGCTTTTTCCTCGGCGAGGATCGAATCGAACTTCCGCTGTTTCTTTTCGAGCTCGGTAACCTTGGACCTCGTGGAGTCGAGTTCGATGTTGAGGTCTTCAACTTCGGCCATGAGCTTCCGCTTGCTCTTGTCGACTTTGTCGACCTGTGCGAGGTGTTCGGCGACGCGAGCGTTCGCTGATTCGAGCTCCTTGGAGAACTTTTTCCGCTGTTCCTCCAGCATTTGTTCCCATTCCTCATCGCTCTTCTTCTTGGCTTCCCCGATCTGGGGGGGGGAGAATTGGAGCTTAATAGAGGATACTTCGCATTCGGAATCTGGACTGTCATAGCATCTCATGGGACTATTATCGAGCATATGAATGATTCTCGATTAGTATCATCATAATAATTATTATAATTTACCTGTGCTTGGAGAACTTGGATCTGTTTATCCATGGTTCGCTTGGCCCCCTCTTCTTCATCGAGTTGATCTTGCAGTCGCTGTTTCTCAGCTTCCAAAAGACGGAGTTTCCCGCTGAGGGCCAACTTCTGTTTGGTTTCCTCCTCGAGCAGCTCCTGAACTTCGGCGAGCTGAGCTTCCAGATTCGAAGAGTTCTTCAGACCGGCCGTGGCACGCTTGTCTAGTTCCTCTAACTGAGCAGATACAGACTCCAGTTCGGCCTGGAGTTTGCTGCATCTCTCCAGGGCGTCCTGCTTGAGGCGCTCAGCGTCGGCGACTTTCGCGGACGCCTCCTGGAGCTGATGCTCCAGAGCCTTTCTCTTCCGCTCTGATTCTTGTCTAGCTGCGATATGACCCTTGATCTCGTTGGCCATGTCGATGTTCTCGGCCTCGAGATTCTGTTTGGTCTTCTCCAGGTTGAGTTTGGCTTTCTTCAACGATTCGGTTTGCTCGTTTAGCTGCTCAACGGTCTGGTGGTGTTTGGCCCGAAGATCGGCGAACTGACTGTCTTTCACGGACATCTCGTCTTCGAGTGTTTTCTTCAGCGCGGCCACTTCGTGTTCACGCTGTTTCTGCAACTCTTTCTGAGTGGCCGTGGAGTCCAGCGAGTCGAGAAGCTCGTTCTTGAGCCGCTCCAGTTCCTCGTTGAGGTCTCGCTTCTGTTTTTCACTCTTCTGTCGGGCAGCTTTCTCCGACTCCAGGTCCTCTTGGATATCACCCATCTGGAAGAAACGGATATTGACCAATGTAAGACGAACTATGCTTGCAAATACATACGCTCCTGATAATCGGGTGGCACGTTCGTCGCGCGTGGATCCAGACAAAGAGAAACGATTCCATACCTGCGATTCGAGTTCCCGAAGAGCTTTCTGGGCCTGGGATTTGGCAAGGGTTTCCTCGTCGCAGCGGACGAGGGCTTGGTTGAGCTCCTCCTCCTTCTTGCTCAGCTGGAGTTGCATTTCCTCGAGCTGAGCTTTCTTCTCGTTGAGCTGCTCTTTGATGTCGTTCACCTCGGTATCGAGTTTTCGCTTGGCTCTCTCGAGTTCCTGTCGGACATCTTGTTCCTTACGGAGTCTCTCTTCAAGATCGACGATCGTGGCTTCCTGCTTCGCCTTCAACTTGGACAGCTGTTTGCACTTCTCTTCCTCTTCTTGCAGGGTCTGCTCGACGTCTTTCAGTCGATCGTCCATCATTTTCTTCTCTTTCAGGAACTTCTGGTTGGAGTCTTCGAGAACGGCATAGCCTTCCTCGAGTTTTTTTATTTTTCCATCGAGTGCGTACTTTTCGATTTGGAGCTTCTGTCGCTGCCCTTCCTCCTCTTCGAGCTGTTCCTCTAGGTCGGTGATGTTCTGCTGGAGCTTCTTCTTGTCGTTCATCAGCGCCTGGATCTTCTCCTCCTCCTCTTCCAGTCGGCTCTCTAGCTCGTGACAACACTCCTCCAGCTCTTGCTTCTTGGTGAGCAGGCGCATGCGGATCTCTTCGGCTTCTGCGCACAGCTCGGTCTCGTTCTGGAGCTGTTCGCTCAGCGTAGCCTTCTCCTCGACGGCCTGCTGGAGAGATCGTTCCATTTCCTTCATCTCCTGCTGAGCCTTGTCGAATTTGTCCTTGACCTGTTTGAGCTCTTCGTCCTTAGCGTTCAACTTCTCCTCCTGCTTGGTGACCTGGAGGAGAGGTTTGACTTTGGTGTAAAGTCGCCACCAGGGCCAATTGCGGAGCTTCAGATAACTCGCGCAATTCCGTTGAATTATACGAATGGCATTCAATTGCATGGTGCGTTTCTGGTACATGCGGCGGGCGAGTAGACCTCGACAGTACGCCTGGAATTGGATGATGAGATCCGAGATTTTCATATCGCGTTCCTCTTCGAGTCCGGCTAGGACGCCGGTACGGAAGAAGATTTTCGACTTTCCGATTCGGAAAAGATTGTTGTCCAGCTCGAGTGCTTTGACCATTTTCTCGACGGCGGACTTTCCGTCCATATACCCCTTAGGAATTACGTTCGGTGTCAACAACTCGTACCGCTGACGGAACTCGCTGAAAGGGATGCGGTTCGGGAAGCCCTGGCGACAGATTCGAATGCCTTCTAACACTCCGTTACAGCGCAGCTGATCCAGAACGAGGGGCGGGTCGATCCGGCCCGCCTTCTTCTCGTGATTGGGGATTATACAGCGCACGAAATTGGCATTCGTATTGCTAAGGGTGACCATGAGCTTGGCCAACTGTTCTTTGTACAGCATGGCTACGGTTCGCATCATTCCCTTTCGCGCCCTCGCTGGGCCGAAGGTGCCGTCGAGGGTGGCTCCCATCGAGATGATTTCGGCGTCCTTCCACAATGCGGCTACGAACGGGTCCTGTGACTGTTGGAGAATCTGGACGACGTTGTCATTCAGGGGGTCCATGTTTTTCTCGAGCCACTGGCTTGCGGAGTACACGACGCTCCCGGCGTAGTGCACGATGCTGAAGTCGGCGTCGGCGATTCCCGATCGAATGCGATCGCTCTTGATGAACTTCGGATGCGTTTCGTGACCGCTCTGCAGTTTCTCTACGAACGTGCGATCGGTCGCTTTCGGGTAAATGCACTCTTCGTCTAGGATGGCGAGGATTCCTGATCGGTTGTCGATCAGGTCGATCGTTGGCTGGAGGTCGAGACCGAAATCGATGAATTTCCACTCGATACCCTCCGCCTGATACTCTTCTTGCTCTAGGATGAACATCGTGTGGTTGAAAAGTTGCTGAAGCTTCTCGTTCGTGTAGTTGATGCACAGCTGTTCAAAGGAGTTCACGCCAAAGATTTCGAATCCGGCGATGTCGAGAATTCCAATGAATGAAGTGCCCTGACGGGTGCTACGGTCAAGCGATCTATTTATCCGGTGGACAATCCATTTGAAGAGGCGCTCGTAAAGCGCCTTGGCGATCGCTTCGACGGCGAATTCGCATTGTTCTTTCGTCTGCGCTTTGTTCACCATTTCTCTCCCTACTTTCATTTTGGGCTTGAGGAAAGCCTTGCTCATTTCGAGTAGACCGATTCCTAACAAATGCGATACTTTCTGAGCGACGCGATTATCAGGTAACGTGGCTTGGTCAGAGTTACGTTCCTGCTTGAAGTGCATGTTGCCTATGGAGGGGAAGGAGAACTACGTTAGGAATAATGTTCATCACGCCTCGCCCCGCGGACGGATACCTCATATCCATTGTGGAATCCATCGCTAGGGAGTGCTCGCTCACCGAACAGAAGTACAGCGGAGAGAATCTTGAAGATGCTCTTTATATCGTCCGGCGTGAAACCCATGATCTGCATGGCTTGCACCGTAGTCCTGAACTCTTCTTGTTCCTCGACGCCGGGGATCGTGACGTTCCCTTGCGAGAGGAATTCGTAGGCCCCGACGTCTTCAAGAAGCAGTTCTTTGATTTGTTCCATCGAAGCGCCAGCCAGTAGTTGATAGAAGATGTGGAACGACCTTTCGTCCTTGGCCTGTCGGATGGCTCGCGACTTTTCCAGGAGATAGGTTTCAATGTTGGCGCCGCTGATGTAACCCGATGCGTCGAAGTTGATTCGGATGAACTTGCCCTGTGTCGGGAGAAACCGGGACGGATAAGTGAAATATTTCCTCCCATGCTTATTGGCCAGAGCGGATCAAGTGATACCAGAATTCTCGTAAATGGCAAAACGAATGGATACGTACAAATCTGGAAGAATTGTCGTTCTTGACAGTCTTGGCGTTACCGAACGCTTCGAGGATGGGATTGGCCTGGAGTAGCTGTCGTTCCAACTCCGTCTACAGAGGGAGATTGTTAGAATTCGGCTTTTCAGTAGGGAAGAAATCTATCCCGTCTGCGAAAGCATCACCTTCCGACCGCATATTCAGTAGGGCTCCATGCAAAGTGAACCAGGCGCATTCGGGAACCAATCGGTTAGAGGTTCACTTGACTGCGAACCGCAACACTTTCGGTAAATAGCTGATTCCGTTTTGACAAGTTTACCGACAACGAGCAACCCGACGATCGGATCGGTTAGAATTCCAACAAGCTCGTATGCAGACTGAACTGACCACCGTCGATTAGCGACGTCACGACGAGAGTTAGACTACGGCGTTAGAATTACCCCAGTGACGTGAGTTTTCTACATTGGAACTGCAATCCCGAATCGGACCCCAAGGTGTTCGAAAAGCACCCCGCGCTGATCGGATCATCTCGCGATCGGGGAAGGCGTTGCTCTTGGCCAGAAGTCCAGAGCACTCGACCATTCCCTCCTGCAACCCCAACTCTGCCCATCCCTGCCAGCAGATGAATTATTCAGCCGGAATCACAGCGGAACCAGTCGGAAAACGATTCAGCGAAGCAATACGACACAGGCTTCATATAGGAGACTGTACTTCAAAGAAACGCGAGCATTCACGAAAAAAAACGGAAATACGACAAAAGTCACGAAGACACGCAGATCGATAGGCTATCGAACGCAGAGACAGTCCATTCATCAGGAATGGATCGCAAATCAAGATACCAATGCTCATCCACGGAGCACCGAGACAGGTGTCAGCCCCGGCCCCGAGCTCTAGTGGAGGAACAGAGCACATGCATAAGTGCTCGGCTTGCTTCTAGAGACAGAGTGTCACCTCACCGAGAGTAGGCATAGATGAGCCCTCATTATTGTGCCATTCGGGCTAGCCGGGTTAGAGCTGAGGCCGTCGCCGCCTTGAGTTATGATAGGCGGTAGCGGCTTGCCGAAGATAGGAAACTTCGTCAGGTTAGAAACACCGTTAGCTACGTCTACACAAATCTACGGAAACGGATCGACACGACGCGGAGGCAAACCCTTCGGCGCTCGAAAGGTCTCGACACAAATCACAGCAGAAGGAAACATTTCGGGGAACACCACCACAATTTCTGGCAAATTCATGAATCAACCTGTCATCGACAAGAATCCATGACTAATGATCACAGAGGAAACGAACGAGCTAATCGGAGATCGGGCAGCGATCAGAAGAGTTCTCCGAGAAGCAACACGGTTCCAACACGACATCCAATAGATAGTTACCAAGGATATCGTTGAAGATTCCGTGAAGCACCGTGGTGTTCAATGGTCATACAGCTGTGTGGTAATTGCACGACATGAGAGATAGACTCAAGGGACACGGTTGTCAGGAGTCAGAGAAGACTTCAGATCGACCAGTGATGGGAGTAAGGTCTCCATCTCAAACTCGCACTGGAGTCTTAAGACTCTCAGGCGATTTCGGACTCCTCTATTCAAGATTCAACGGATTCTCTCACACGGAGCAACGCCCCCCGTCTTTTCGCCCTTATCTATTATTGAGCCGAATTTCGGTCGAGCTCAGAAGCTGTTCAACTTGCAAGAACCCTTGAACAGGCCTCAAGTTGTTGCCGAGGCTTTGGCGGATAGCTACTCTCTTCGCATCTTTCAAGCTCCTAGTATGCCCGTACCTAAGGATCGCAAACTTACCATGTTGATCGCAGGGGGCTAGGCATGAAAATAAACAAGATCTTTTGAGTATATTGGAGTACGGGGGAGAGGGACTGATGGCGATTCTCGACTTCACACTCGACGTGTAGAAACTAGCTTCACACGGAAACAGGGTTTCAAACAAGGGAGAAACTCTCAGCTCCACGAAGAAACTCCGTCCAACCTCACGGATCGGATTCATTCACACGAATTCTCAGCTCAAGTACTCTCGGCAACAGTGATAAGGAACAAAATCAACTCCTCAAAGGGGACTTCAAAGGAGAGGAATCTAACGGTATACTCACTCAAAATATCAGGCTTCCACAATTTCTAAACTCTCTAAATTGAACGATTCGAACACATATCGAAACACAGGCGCGCTCGGTCATGGCTCCACGCTTGTTCATTGCAACGTTCTGATAAGTCTTCGAAACTACACAACAGGAAGTATTCAGGGAATGATAATTTACGTTTAGGGTGCTCTCGAAGTGGACCCACCAGGGTTAGTACCCTATGACGGAAAATCACCGTTCATGCACTCCTAGCATCGATGAATCGAACCACCATGACAACCATGCATCCATTTCCACAGGCAGCTAATCGACACGTCCTGTCGTTCCGTCATTTACGTTGACGAATGCAGCCAGACATCTTACCGAATGCAACGTCGACGAGGCGGACGAATTTTGTCTGGGTTTCGGAGCGGCAACGAAGGCTAGATATTGAATGACTTTCTTCGTGTTTTCTGTTTTGCCGGCGCCGGATTCGCCGGTACACAAGATACTCTGATCCTCTTTGTCCTGCAGCATGTGCCTGAAGGATTTTCACTCGGTTAGCTGGATCGATGAGCTCTGACAGCCGCTGGGAGCTCCATCAATCGTGTCCCAATAAAACTACTCGGCACCCACCTGTATGAGGAATCCGCTACTGCGTAAATGTGCGGCGGCACCTCTTGCTTCTTGCGGCCCTTGTAGCCCTCCATGAGCTGATCCGTGTAAATCGGAAGCTTCTTGTAGGGGTTGACCACCACGCAGAACAGGCCGGAGTATGTCTGTGAAGAAACATATGATCATTATTCGGAGTGCTTTACCCTGATCCATAGTCCATTATTAATTATTATGATGATGATGACTCTGGTGTTTGTCCTCTGTGACGATTTCTGTCGTCCCGGGGAGATTTGAATCAATGGGAGCGGAGCTGAGGGTCGATTTTTTTCGAGAGCCTGACAGCGCTGTTGATTGACAGCTAGCTGCTGAAGACGCTCATCTGAAGAGGTTTCCGAATCACCACTTCGATGAGAAGGGAGAAAGTGTTGACGGCAGAATAATTTGAAGAAACCGACGAATAATATGGCTCCGTCTAATTCCAAAAGGGGGGATCGACTCGATTGAAGACAACAAAACTCGTCATGCTCGTCCCGTGCGACTGATAGAGTCTCGCGCCAGAAAGTTCGCTGCGGTGCGACAGTCGCCAGACCTATGCGACCGCTAGACCCAATGCAACTACCAGACCTCTCGAGGGTTTCGAGGCGGAATTCCGGAAAGGCTCGAGACGTTGAGCGGCGCGCTATCGAGGGAGCCTAATAGCAATAGATATGGAATTCGCCCCTTTGGCTCATGCTCAGGTTTGAAGAAGCTCGAATTGCCCCTGACTCAGAGTACCGCTACTTAAAGTCATGGATTCTCTCGACTCCGGGCGTTGACGGAGAGAGTATTGTTTGAGCACCGCACTGTAAGGGGACATCTATTGCCCATGAAGATGATAATAATGATTAATAGAATTTATTGCCGTTCAATTTTGTTTTCGTTTCGACCGAACATTCTCTGCCCACGCTTGTGACACCAAGATCGAGCGAGTCGAAAGAAAAGCTGATCATGGCAGCGCGGCGGATCCTCATACGGTTTGTCCACTCTACCGGTGCATTTGCCCGTTTAGCCCGGCGCGCAGAGAAGGAGAGCTCCCTACTGTGCTTCCCCCGAACTGATCGATCGAGTCTCGGAACTTCGAGAAAAATATTGTAGATTCCATATTCTAGAAGGATGATGCATTTCTGAGAGCAGATTCAAGAATCGCCGCTCGACGCTGCCGACGGCAACCCTTCCAGATTAAAAGGTCTGGGTAGAATTTGGTCGCAGCTAATTCGGATTTTCCACTCACGGACAGTTCGTGCCGATCGGATCAGAAGAACATTCTATCCTTCCGTACAATGTGTCGGAGCCCCATTCTGGAACGTAGGCCACGGGCTCGCGCTCGACTAATTCTCGAATTCGAAGAAAATCCAATCTCTCTCATACATGAGAAATCCGGTCACGGAATCGAGTGACGTCTCGCCGTCAGCGTTGCTCTTCCAAGTTCCGAGCTTGCAATTGAGAGCTCAGCATCTGTCGTCGCGCACCCTAATCGATTCTCGAGCTGTTTTCCATTTCACCTTCTGGGAGTTCCCCCTTAAGACTTCTTGAAGATGAAACCACCGCTCCCGCTGTCGCCGTTTCCGCGGCTGAAGCTTCGCGGTAGTGTGCTGTGAATTGAACCCATTGTCCGTTTTGTCGCTCCGTCGTTGTGATCTCCTCCGCCCGCGCGGGACCCCAATCTGCGTTGGTGGTGCCGGTGGTGGTGCTGTGGCTGCCGATGCTGGCGTGGCCATTCTAAATGTGAGCCGAGCAAACGCAGCTCCCAGTCAGCCACACTCGCAGACGTAGCGACTGACTGACTCTCTCATACGCTTGCCAGCGGCTAGCCGGCTCGCCAGCTCGTTCGCATACAGCTCCGACTTGAGCAGCATTCAAGGGAACCAAACAAGAAGAGAACCCTATCTATCTCCTGAGAGCTCGCAGAATAACCGCTCCAGGGTTCGAAACCGGAAGCTCCCGTGTATTTCGTGTGGACTCGCGATTTCGCGGAGTTCGGAGCACCGTTCGGAATGACGGCATTACGAACCATACTGCACCCCCACCCCGTGGACGAGACTCGGGCCTACTGACCACGAGCGGTCCGTGACGATACGGAGGCAACCACGACAGAGACAACGACAATCATGGGCCGACATTCGTCAGCGCGAGATTGAAATGAGCCTCGATGGCATTTTCGATGCTCATGAAGTTGAGCTTCAGATGACGGCCGAGCAGATCCGTGGGTCAACCACTTGCTCGACGCTCGTCCGCTCACTCGCTCGCTCGTTCGCTTCGTTCAACGGCATCGCAGGCTCGTGGCTCCGAAGCTCAGTAACCCCGACGAGTCGCACTTCGACCTTCTTATCTCTAGCAGCTGTTGTCGATCGGCTCTCCTCGCAGCCGAATCATATTGTCGTTCTTCATCGTACGCTTCACTTACTCCAGGCGAGCATCATCGCTGCTCGCGGCAGGTGTGCGAGCGTTCGATGACAAATCCGAGTCTCTCATGCTTCGATACAAATCGATGCTATATGCAGAGACACAATTCAATTAGTGGAGCACGCGGGAGACTCTAATTCGTTTGCACGCCCATAGAAATTCTACTCGGCGGCTCGATCGGAATGTGTGTAGGTGATCGCATTCGAAGAGCGTTCGCTCTTTTCTGGAACTTCTCATCCACGGGTCTTCTGCGCGCTGCTCGAATCCAGGAACTAATGACGTCAAAAAGAATCCACCTTCTAAGAGAAGCGCGAGCCAGCGCTATTCCTGGCTAAGCTCGCTTCGGACACAAAGGATTCTCCGTCACATTCCGCTTTGGAGCTCTGGACAACATTCCTTTACGTTGATTCACGGTAGCAGCTCCCGTAGCTGAGCTCATCTCGGTGTCAAAGCGGTGGAAACACGGCCAGCGAATCTTGTCTTGGATTATATAAACATAAACGTACTTTCGATTCATTCAATGGATATCGAAAGCGAAAATCAGACACCTATCCTCTCAATCACCTTCTGAGCTCGGGTACGAGGAGGTACCGATATCGGACCAATGCGAGCCTGATCCAAGTTTCTGTCGGTCGTCGAAATAATTCAGTTCATATCATATGTTGTCGTCAGCAGAGCAACGACAGCAGCAGGCGGTAGCGGGAAGCCACCGAGTATCTATCCGAATGAATCGAGCGAGTCATTGCTCGAAGCTTGCGTTTCGACGTTGCTCGTCCCAATATCGACTGAACGAAGCTATGCATGAATTACGTCATGTAGTTCCACAGAAACTGCCGGTCAAAGAGCTCGAGTTTCCCCGTATGGAACCGAAGCCAATGGAGGATAAGGTTCGTCTTGAGAACACTTAGCTCTGCATAGATCGCAAGGCTTAGAGCGTCGCTGTCGAGTTTGGGAGCGGAGAGCGACCTCGATGAGTTGCCACACTCGCGTCCAAAATCTCTCGATGTTTTTCCGGAGAACGCGGAATCGCTTCCTCCGACCGACGTTCCATATTCGAGCAAGCCTTGCTGTTCATCGTTTGACGGGGCTGCATGAAAAGCATTCGCGAAGGCCATGCAGAGGATTCCAACTCGCACGATCGCGCTCAAACGCTTCCGAACATCGACAAATGGAACCGTTGCCGGCCCACCTCCCGTCTTCTTCCAATCACTGGTTATGTCATCTGTCAGCTTAAGAGCCATCCCGACCCCTAAGTCGCTCCAGCGTGGCATTCTGTCAAACAACACAGAACTCGCCATCATCCGCTGCATTGCCCGATCGGTCTGCCCACGCGCTTGGTGTCCCCTCTAGAACTGGAATACTGGAAGAACAGCTCAACGCTACTTCACCACCACAATAGCTGAAGATCAACGACACCACCCAAACGGAGCAGGCAGACGAAGTAGAACGCGTATCAACGCTCGGAATCATCGTCGGAGCGTGCGAGCTGACCGAATCGGGCAAAGCGCTTCTAATTCATGCATGGGGCATATCATTCACCTCTGTCACCGAACTGTCTCGAAAGAATTCATGGATAAGCTCCGGAGGGGGATCCGTAGATCGGATCTTAAACCGGCAGCGGCCGACAAGTCGGATATGCGACTTGAAAATTGAACCATCTGACCATCCGCAGCGATATTTCACTGTCGTCGTATGGCGGGACGGAAGGAAGGAGCAGACAGCGGTGAAGCCATAGATTTTTCACCCACGCCGATTGGTACGAGGAACTCGGCTCTCTACGAAATTTTCTGCAGGAATACGTCTGATTTTGGGTCTCGATTCTACGGGAGGACTCGGAAAGCTCTCCGCCGAGGAATCAACCGAAAGATCGCCCTTCGCTTGTCCCTGCTCCTTGGAACGTCATGGTGACGCGATTTAAGTGGCGACAAGAGCGTAGATTGAGGTCGATACATGGCGACCGCGGAAAGCCGCACCGGAACCCTCAAAGGTCACGTCCGGATGTGTGATCATGACACGCCTCGAACAGTAGACCGAAGAGCTGAGCCAAACCCACCGAGAATCGTTTAATTTACGATCAGCTGTTGATTGAATCCCCGACAAGAGGTAAGAACTCATCGGCGAGGCGAATAATCATCCTAGATTGACATTATCCTTAAGAGAGCTGTCGGGACTCGACGAAAAGGCGCGAAATTCAACTCGAAATATTTTTCGAACAGATCGCCTTCGCAATGTTCTGGGAATATTCGCGCGATGACGCCGAGGAAAAACTGTCACGGAGCTTCGAGCAGACGAGTGTCCACTAGAATTACGGGGAGCCACTTCGAACTAGCTCGTAACCGAATGCATGCCCTTAAAGGGATATGCCATAAGCTCCGTTCTGGCAACTGTTCTTGACGGTGAACGTCGAACAATCTATCCCGGAGGACCGCTATACTTCTCCGCTAGATAATTGCAGCCACCACCCGTATTTTACCGTGAGCGGCTCGCCGTAAGCTAAACATTCGGTGGACTGGATTTCTCCTATTCAAGAAAAGCGACAGATATGGGTGGCCATCAAATTCCATCATTCAGCCAGGAGCTCACAAGTGTGTAGTGATTCATAGACTGGATCTCGAGACTGAGTTTAAGTCAACGGAAAACGATCGCTGAATCATCCTTCGACTGACTGGGAGTCTTGCCTTGACGCCACGGATAGCGTTCTCCTCATCGTTGTTTAAAAACCAAATTCTCTCCTTTATATTCCGCAAATCACTGTAAAACTCGCTGTTAGTCGGAAAGGTATCAATTTAGACGAATTCACTGCGCGACATTTCTTCGGTGACCGGTTCTCCTATTCTGTGGATCACGGTGAGGTGGGTTAATCCCGCTCGGAGCGGAACACGGATTGTTGGCTGATTGCTCGCTCGGTCGGTCGATCGCTTGGCTGCTCGGTAAGCGGCATGACCCAAGAGCGCGAGCTCGAAGAGCGGCCGACCGAGGTAAGGGAGAAGGCTGTGTGGCTAGAGAAAGCAGCAGCAGCAGCAGAAGTGAATCAGTGCGATCTTCGTCGACCTCAGGGGTCCTCTCGCATTTGTGAAATCTCGTTTCGCTAAACATAGGCAGTCAGCGTGTTACGTTGTCTTCCGCCGATCTTTGAGCCAGCTTGAGGCACACCGATTATCGCCGCGTTTTTTTTTCTCTTGCCTCCGAAGTCGAGGAATCAAGATGGACGACACGCCGTGCAGGAAGAAGCTTCTCTCCAGAAGCTTCTCCGCGCTCGTAATGAAGCTGCATTACGACTCATTACAAAACGGTGCGAACCCTCTAGGGAAGTAGGTACCAATCGTCGAGCGATAGTGTCAGTCCCGAAATGTAAATCAGTCGATTTCCTGCGATTTCTACGCGAAAGCCTCCAACGTCGCAGGTCGGTTCGGAGCAAAAGCAGCAGAAGGTGCGCTCCTCCATAGGGAAGGTGTTCTTCCAGTATTCCTATCAAAAGTAGCACCAACGAAAAGTCGGAGTCGTCGTTTCGATCATCACAATCGGAAGAGTGATCATTAGAGAGCGCGAATTCCGCGCGGGCGCCGAAGATCGACATTATTTGGCTTTCTCTTCGAGAATCTATTTGCATGTCCGTTCGTACGTCCTGGCATCGAGAAAGGGGCCGTTTTCTCAGTGAGTCATTGCCGGCGGCTTCGGCGGTGGCTTTTTCGGCAGCGGCAGCAGCCGACACACATTCTGACTCCATCCTGCGAGCACTTCGGACGTTATCGGGATTCCAGCGTTGAGTCACGGTTCAACCAGAGTGGAGCTGTCAAGGTTTCGCGCGCGCACCGCCGCCGGTCGGTCGGTCGACCAGCCAGCCAGTCGCCGGTAAGCCAAGCGCCTGGGAGTTCTGCAGCATCCGAGCAAGCATAACATGACAACCAAGAGACCGACCCGAGCAGCTATACTTCTGTTCAGCGCCCGGCGGGCCGGAATACTATGTCCAGTGTCGTCGTCACGCTCCCGAACGAGCTCCCACTTTGGACATCAAAATGTGTTCACGTCGTTATCAACTTTATAGAACGCCGACGCTCGCTCCAACCAAATTGTACTTTCGCGATAGTACGATATCGACGCGAGACCGAACCCCGTTTGGATTTGACCGCAAGACTTCGTTCGCTCTCTCCGGCAGAGAACGGGAACATTTTTACGAGGCGGATCGCAGGATCCGGGGACGGTCAGAGACGAGGAGGCGCACAGAGTCCGCAATGATCGACTTCGTGGAGCGGGGAAGGACTCTCGCTTAGGCACGCTTCACGGGCGAGAGTTGCGTCAGAGAGGACGCTTGGAAAACCCAGGCGTTCCCGATTCGACGTCAATTGCCCCAGGATGCGGCAAAGTTTTGTCTGCTAAGGGTGGCGCGAACATCAATGTTCATCGCGCGAATATCCACGGATCAGCGGATGTCATAACAGAAAAGAACGTGCCAAAACCTCGGTCATATCGAAAAAGAGAACCAGGAAGGATTCCGGTGCCAGAGCCTGGTGCTAAACTAAAAAGGAAATACGAGAAACACTTCTCATCTACAGTGCGGACTGGATGAGCATCGATCCCGATCAGCTACATTCGATGCTCCGTCGGCTCCATGACAGCTCTCGCGTCGACCGGCGATTCGAACGCTAACGTCGTACGTTCAAGAACCTTCTCCCGGAGTCAAGTCGAAATGACGGATGACACCACGCTCAGCAGGGCTCGCGCGAATCGAACGCTTTCGCCAAGTCCCCGATCAAGTTCTTCAAGATGATGCTCAACGCTCCGAACGTAGTTGATTGTCTCGAGTTCTCATCGAGTTCGAGTTGGTCAGCGATCTTAAGACCGACGGTGAGAGCACCAAAAGTAGCTGCGACGGTAACCGCGGTAGAAGCTAAACAGAGAGTGCCGAAAACACCGCTTCCTCTCAAATCAGACGAGTCTACTGAGGCATGGAGGAGCATAATATTATACAGAACAGTACCATCGGGCGAATCGACCTCTTACAGAATGCAGATGTTTTCAGGGACTTCGGAACGAAAGCCGTTGCCGCCGCCACCGCCGTCGAAGACGACGACTCTCGTCATTCTCAACGGCGGCGACGGATGGACAGACAAGCCATCGACGAGCCAATGTTCATGGGTGGGGCTTGCTTCTTCTTCTCGAATGACTGTGCTGTATCAAGAGCACAAATGAATTCCCGCGCGACTCGAACGCGCCGGAGAAGACGGAGAGGTACAAATCGATTTCCGTCCAAATAATTGGAAAACTGTGTCTACAGTGTGCTGAACAAGTCGAGCTCTTTTTTCGGTGTTCGCCCTTGGATAGAATTTATAGACACTGACTTGTGCACGGCGGATCCGACTGAGTCACTTGACATTCGCGGGATTCTCCCAAGGGACACCCCACGGGGACAGAATGATTTTTTCCGGTTCAGTGAAAGGTGACTGATCAGAAAGGATCGCGGTCGGGACCGTTTCTGATCCATGAGGGAGTTTCCAATGAGGCTTCCTGGAGACGTTTCTCGGAGAGGTAGGGCAATAATCGCCTACTCCGGGAGCCGAAAAACTGTAAGACACCGCAGCAAGAGCTTTCAGTGCTGGATTCCCCGGGCTGAGGCTTTGAGCGAGCCGATGAAGCTCGCGATGCAAATGAAACGATTTCTTCCGTCCAGTAATGAGTCTTCAGCAATTACAGGGTGAAAAAGAAGAGAAATTCTGAGACAAAGAAAAATATCTTCTCACGAGGACTCAAAGCGGGACCGTCTTCGGACAGGGAATTCTCACAAGTGAACAACCTATGCTGGTTAGTGCAGAATTCCAAGCCGAGAGAATTCTCCACAAGATTTCCGCAACCGTTAGACTGACCATGGTCTGCAATGATCGGACGGGCCGAGAGAGCCTGCTGCCGGGATCTAAGGGACTCCAAAGTTAGCACGCGATTCGAGTCTAGAGTTCGAGGTCAAGGTAATTTGCGCAATCAGGCTTTCAGTTCGACAAGATGAGCTCAACAGCTCAGAATGAGCTCATAGAATCGGGTCGGAAGGAATAAGGTAGCGATTTTCTAGATTGCAGACTGGACAAAAGGATCAAACTGAGAAGAGTCTGCAGTGCAGGGCATCCTTAGTCACAGTCAAATCAATCCCACGCCCTAAGGGCATCGGCAGCAGGAAGCTATCTCGCTTTCGAAGCGAAGGGAGAGCCTAAATCCAGGCGGTGCCTGGGTATCTCCGTTTCCGGTAGAGGGTACTCACGTAGATTAGTCCTGAGTAGTATCTCTCTTTGATGTTGTGGAGCACACAGGCTTCGTTGAGACATGTCAAGTCGGCCATGTCGTCAACTCTGTCGAAGTTCGGGGGATTCATTTTCTGGATGTCGTCCCGACTGACGACCATTTTTTTCGCGGTCTCAACCAATTCCACTTCGAGCTCGTCGCCGCGTTCCCCTCGAATCGACGCCGCGCAGAATCCTTGTGAGTCGTGCGGGACCCAGACGAGTTTCCTCGCGGTCCATTCTGCTTGCAATGCAGGATCATACCTTGAAAGGAAGCGTGACCCATTAGATACTCCATCCCGACGGTCTTGAATGCGGAAAACATGCGCTCTGGGAATCATTGTCCTGAAAACCAAGGCCCCGGATGATCGACACCGCCGCGCTCCCCAGGACTTGAATCTCATCATGCAAGAATAAAATACCCATAGGTTAGAAGCAACCCGGGAAAATGCTGAATCTCGGTCGAGGGTACTTCGGGAACGAGTTTGCGGATGAGCCAAGCGAAAAACAAACCATGTCGTGGTTTTAGTGCCGTGTATTTCCCTGCGGTAATTGCTTGTTCTGCCTAGCAACCCTACAACAGCTGTGTGCCGCGCAGATCTATCGGAAGAGCTTCGGATGTGTCCGCGTTTCCGACCAAGGTAGCTTTGACAAAGGTAGCACATAAGGCATTCCAGAGCGCAGCTTCGAAATCCCAACCGTGAACTTGCACGTTCCCACTTTGTTTGCTTATTCAAGACCTATTCTCCGACGGTCGGTTAAAAAAAATGAAACTGCAACTGAATGTTTACATGAGCTCGGAGAACCACTGCCGCGGTTATGACGTCAGTGCAATGTCGAATGTTCGTCTAATCGCTGAGCAAATGACTCGCAGAGGATCCTCCGACTCGATGTCGAAGGACAGACATTCCCAAGACTTGTCGTTCGGAGATCAAATCCACCTCCTGGTCGCAGCATTTGTCCATGAAACAAAATAGGCGTTTCGAGGACATTCCTGGCCGTCGATAGCAATGAATATACGCAAAATCAAGCTACCGATTGTGCTCGCAAATATGTCGCACAGGGAGCCGCATGTTGTTCTCGAACCGATCGTTTTTTCGAAGCCCTGGCAGCTCGGAACCTTGCGTCTCCTTCAATCAAGCCCGTCGCACAACACGATCCTGAGTAGTTTTCGCGCTTCGTTGCCTGTTTGGCTTGGTATGACTCAATTCATATACACCGTACACCATACAAATCGCTGCTTTCCGTCTCTGAATGGTGCGGGGTAGGGAGGAATGCGGAGGGGAACTCCTGACCGCGATGGGACTCCTATCTCGCCGGTCTCCTATACCGTACAAAAAAAAGTGGAGAATTCAAGCGAGCCACTCTCGTGAACCATGCATAACATCATGTCTGAGTGAGCCACGCTCGAGTCAGGCTTGGAGATCGGCTAAATTGAGGGCCCGACCGTTGCAAGGACGGCGCTCACGATTTCGCCCTAGCCGAAGCTTGGCTGTTGGCTTTGTTATAACGACAGAAATTTCAAACGCCAGAATGCCCCTTCAAAGAGTTCACTGTTTTCCACGAGAAGAAACACTCACGGCACACATGCAGCTCATAGCAGCAGCAGCAGCAGCAGCAGCAGCAGCAGCAGGAGGAATCTTAGCGGCAACGGTCGCTCGGCCGGCCGGTCGGTCAGCTCACACATTATGGCGACGACCAAGACCACGATACGCTATGAGTGCCGTAGAATTTCTTTAGGTAATATTCGTTGGACGGAAAACTATGCGGCAACACTTTTAGACACTTTTAAACGGCGAAAAGCTTAGACGCACAGAAACCACACACGGAGTCAGTTGCACTGCGCCGAAATGGATCCTCGACAATACCTCAGACCAGTTTATCGGATCTAGCTGTCAGGAAAGCTATGGGTTCGTCGAGATCGCTCGATTCTTAGTGCCTCCGTCATTTGAACGGAACCGTGTCCTGGGTTTCGCAACTCACACTCGACCTCCGGTCGCAACTCACACTGATCGATCCCGAGCAGGAGTCGATCACTACTTCGAAACATGTGTCCCGCAACTTCGGCGCGGAACAATAAATTTTCCACCGCAGTCCGTCTCGAGCTCGTTCTGCGTGCACGCCAAGACTCTCAAGAAAGTGCCTATTCCGGCCTACGATACTTCGTGAATTGAACGAGCTGATCCGAACGCTTTCTCCGGTAAAATCCGCAGGAAAGTTTTTGGCTGAGTGAAACAGAGGACCTGCTCAAAAAGCTTACCGCTCGTGAGATTTGTCATCTCTCGAGAGTCCAAGACGAGAGAGCTCGCTTCCTTCCAATTCACCAAATCATTACACGACACTTTCATCGAAACCTGACGATGACAGGTGGATGCCCTCCCATTTTTTTCGGATCACGAGTGATCACGAGGATCCCCACGAATTCAGACGAGAATTATTATTATCATCGTTCTCAATGTAGGAAACTCTCCTCCCGGAGAATATTAAGGCATCCGCAGGCCACGTCGCGTCGCACGCGGACTCCGCCGGCATCGGTTTGACAAGCAACGATGGCCACCGGTGGTCTTCGGCAGGCGGACAGGCCACGACGGAGCAAGCCGAGCGAGAAATACCGATGTGCGAAAACTACGAAAATCTCGATAATACACGCTCCGATTGTCCTTAGTTTCGGGGCCGGTGCCTGCCAAAGAAGCGGCTCAGGCGAGCGGTCCGCATTCCAGCAGGCCGGTCTTCAATCCAGCAGGAGTTCGTTGACTTACCGGTCGTTCTTGCTGGCGACGAGAAATTTGAAAACCGGCGAGTTGAGGTTGACTCTGGCCGCGTCCCCCATGATGCTGCTCGACGACGTTGTTTCGGTCGCCGCTTTCGTCGTCGTCGTTATCGTATTCGTCGGTCAGTAGATAGTTTCTCTACCAACCAATTGTTTTCAACACCACCTTCAGCAGCCGTGGCTTGCTCGCTCGGCACACAGACAGCTCACTTCGACGAAACTTCAATCACTACTGCGGCGGCTGCTTCGGCTGCGGTGGCTATGCCTGCTGCGGCGGCGGCGGCGGCAGCGGCTGCTGCTGCTGCTTCTAGGGTTGCGGCGGCAGTTGTTGTTGTTGCCTGGCTGCTGCTGCACTTCACCACCACTTTTTCGTCGTCGTTGTGAGAGCGGCCGGCGCGTCGTCTGGTCGAGCCTGCTGCTGCCTGCGTGGATTGTCGCCGCGCCGTTCGACTGTCCGTCTCAAGACGGAGTCATGAACGCGCTACTCTGTCGCGAGATCGACGGCGGCGGCCGCCGCTGGAAGAAGCGCCGTGACGGGCGACTCTCTTTCTGACAGCAGCAGCGGCAGCAGCCTCTGTGTGCTGCGTGAACGCTAGCGACGGCGGCGGCTAGCGCGGTAAACGGTAACGACGGCGGAGCGATCCCGGCCGTCGTCTGCTATGTCACAGGCGGGGCGGCGGTAGCGCAGCAGCGATCTGACAGACCCGCGACGGACGGGCGGGCGCACGGAGAGATTTACGAGAAGAGTTCTCCCAGAGGAGGAAAACGAGGGAGTCACCAAGGGATGGTGGCGACAACCGATCCGTGGGAATGATGACGATGATCTCGGATCCCACCAAGAGCGCTGAAGGGCCCACGAGCGCGGAAGGTTCTGAAACTGGGGACCAACAGACGAGAATCTTCAAAATCGCCCAGAGCTCAGAGCGGAGTCAACTCCAGGAGCCTGGGACGATCTCTTTATAGCTAAGAGCAGATGCCTAATCGGGTATTCGTGGTTCTGCGGGGATTCGTCATCCTGCGGTCGCAGCGGAGAAACGCGTCAGATTTTATGGCATTCGCAGACCGTCAGCGGCCGGTGGATCGGACCGCAGCGATAATAAGGGTGACGATGTCGATGATGAGAACATCGTTCCGCTGGAATCAGACATGAGGAACGGCTCGGAGTCCGGGATGGCACGCACATATCGTTCATGGTGTCAGAATTCAATCACATGGACTCTTGGTATTCATCACGCTAAGGGTTATATTGGATTCTGAGCAGTTCCTCTGGACCAGAAAGAGATTCGACGACATCCGATGCGGCGGACGTGGAGCTTTTGATGGGGACTTGACTCAACTTGCAATGTTCGTCGACGGAACGGAAAATCCTTCGGATATCGACGTTGAGTCCTCTTATGCGTCTATGCCCATGGAGACGCTCTCGAATCAATAAGATTCAACGCACCTGCCGTATCTGTTCATTCCGCTGATGGGCATCCCGAGCATTCGCTCCGTCTAGATTCTAGTTCTTGCCGATTTGCGCCCTTGATGGGGACGGTGGTTCCCCGCCCTTGCAACGAATCGCTCCTAAAAAGAAGAGTGTAAGCGCTCGATCCGGCCGCTGAGGACCCCGAGCTAGTCTCCCAATGCGACCGAGATCAGCCGAGATTTGTGCAGCACCTTGCCGTCTTTTCTCGTATCAGCCTCTCTCTGGTGGCCCCGGACTATGTACGTGGGTGCGGTCTCGTTCTGCGCACGGAGACTTCCGCTTTTCGGGGAAAAATCCGTATTTCTTTCCGATGAATGACCGAGGGCAACTTGGTTCATACTGCTCAGGTCAAGACTAGGTAATCTTCTTGACCCTCAACGAGATCATGATTTCTTCTTCAAAAATCTATTGTCATTTCATCTCGGGGAATGTCTCATGATTGGGAAAGCCTCGTTCGTGCTGATCGAGTTTCCGAACACAATTCCCGCGATATAGTAGAGTAGAGCGTTGAACCATATGATCGGAAATACCTGCTTCGTGACCAATTCGGAAGTTTTGGGGACATGATGGTTTCGGAGAGATCGATTACCTCTCTCCACTGCACTCTCTCACTGAGTGAGTTCTTTTTGCGGGTGAATCCTTACCAGCCTTCGGTATTCGTTGTCTGATAGGAAAATCGCAGGATGGCGATCGACGCCGATTCCTGACACCTTGATCGGCAAGCGATCGTGAGGTAGACGTGAAGGAATGGATGAGTCTACGGGAGTACTGTTTCAATCGGACTCTTTTTTCCGCAGCAATGTCTCTCCTCTTTCCTGTAGGGGTAGCATCATCTCTTCTTGGGGACAGCGAACGAATTCTTTGAGCCTCCGAGCCTTCGAGCGTTGCTTCAATTAGGAATGAATGAACATTTTGAGACGTCCGTCTCGGAGCATCCTGACTTACCGAATTCAACAGAGGTAATTCTGACCTTGTGAGGAGCAGTTGGGACAGGAATACTGAGCCTATAAGATATGTGTAGATTTCGCTATGATCCCGCTCCGGGCGTATGCGTCCCACAAAAGGTTTCCCGAGACCGCAATGAGATCACAGTGGAGTTGCATCAAGAATAGTCATCGGTTCGGGGTTAAGATTGAAAAATAAGCAGGAACCTCCCATTGAATGGGCCCATTCTAGTTGGAGGGAATTCCTCGGAGGTGACTAAAGACGAAGGGCAATACCCGTTCCTTGGAAGAAGAACATTATTCATCTCCTATACTTGATGGCCTGGAGGACAGATCAGCGCAAGATGATACTCTCCGGGTCGTTGTCAAGCAGGAGATCGCTTGAACCACGCCTATAGATGTTTAGACCGAAGCAACGATTGGTGAAGACTGAAAAAATCCTAACTGCCTAGCCCGCTATAGAGCTTGAAGACAAGGTGCAGCGTAGTGTACAGTGTGCAGGTGTACAGTCCGTAGCCTTCTGTGATATTTTTTAAGAGCTCCGGCAGTATATTTGAACTGTTGGTGGAGGAATTCTTACTCCTTTATCGGTTTTGTCTCCACCGTCCGCGAGATCAGTCCCGGGACCGCCGCGCATGGACTAGGTGTCGACGAAAACCTTATGTCCGACGAAGGACCAGAGCACAGGCCAGACTAGACGCTGAGCCAATCTGAACTCTCGAAAATTCCTCTGGACTTATACGTGAAACGGTAGTATTACGTGACTTGACGTCAGAAAACCGCGGATCACTCCGCCTGTTTCCTGAGGGTTCCGCGACATCACATACTAGTGTCTATGAATTTTCAGCCAATTCCTCTCCACGAGGGACTACCGGAGCTTAAATCTGAGCGGGAGCTCCACATCCAACAATGAGGCCCGTCGGACTAAAATTCCCATATCGATGGCTCGTACTCGCGAATCCTCGACGGTGTTGGATTTCTGTTGGATCTATGGTTGCTCCTTTGCCGAAACTGACAGCATCCTCGTCGGTCGATCCGCGACCTGGAAAAAATTCATGATGGGCTTCAAGAGGACACGCGACGTTCGCCTGTGTTGTTGAAGTTTTTGACGTCTTAAAGGAGGGCCACCTGAGAGTTCATCTTGATATCTCGAATCTCGACCGGATTCAGGTCGGAGCGATTTGGCGCCGATCTCAAAGGTTAGCAGACGCTTTCTGGAAGGAATGCGTATCGAGAATTTGGGTGAGGGGGAAGCGAGGATGTAAACATCAGCAGCCGCGGCGCTCTGTGTAGCAGAGCAGCAGCTCTCTAGACAAGCGTGTCCCGTGTGTGTGTGTTGGTGGTGGTACTTCTGCGGCGGCACCACGAGCAACAGAACAGTGCGGTGAAAGAGGAGAAAAAATCGCGGTGCAGTGGCAATACCCACACACTCGCTCACGATTCCGCTGCCCGCCCGACCGACCGTCTACAATATTCCCGATGGCTGCTGCTGCAGCCTTACCCACAGCAGCAGCGACGAAGGCGACCACTTATATTCCGTCAAAGCAGAAGGCGGAACCGAGGAACGGAATTCAAGAAAACATGGCGGTGTTGAGCCGCAGTTTCCAGTTCGCTGAGCAGTAGCATCAGCGGCGAAAACCCCCGGACGAATTGCTACAACGGTGTACAGTTCTGTGGACGTGTTTTTCGTGAGGATAATCGTGTTTGAGCTTCGGGGTCCGCACTCCCCGCTAGTCTGCGACCGTTCGAAACGATCTGGATCTCCGGGTCCGATTGCAGCTCGAAGCTGAAAATCTGAAAAGCGTCACGGGTCGGGTAACCCTTCGTTAGGAGAGGTGAGGAATTTCCCGCGTATCTCGATCCCCCGAAGATTGCTGATTCGGGAAACTATTGCCGAGTTGGAAAACTCCGGTGCTCCGACACCTGAGAGATTTGGCTGACTGCCTCCCAGAACATTCAGCTTCTTTATCCACAAGTTCCCGTTAGATCGGTCGGTGCCAATTTAAGTCGCAAGAGCTCTTTATCGCAGATCTAGTGCTGCTAAAGTCGCGAACGCATGAAGACTTCCTACACCGGAACCTATCTATCGAGACATGTCGGCTTGTGTCGCATTCGCGAGTTTCGGAAGCTTGCTTGGCTGCAGATTCAGTCCGGTAGTGAAGTTTAGTGGTCCCTTCCACGGGTGTCTCTGTTTGCTCCTCGAGGGGAATATCGTGTTCCATGGTCTAGAGCTCCAGAATCGTAATAGGATGCTCTGAGCGAGTGAAAACGCGTGTGATCTACTTCCAGATGCTTATCGTTTGATATGGACAACCCGTCGGAAAACCCTTCGGACGGGGCTGGTCAACAGTACTGCTGCCAAACGTCTCAAGTTCGCCTCGAGAATGTTCCCTCTTCTTCGAGAGCTCAACTTGCACATCCGCACCAGGTGAGAAGCGCTTAGGAATGCACCCATTGCTTATTCTGATGCGTCGACGGCTCAACGACGGCTCGCTTGGTAACGGTGCATCGCGGCGTTGCATCACCACTTGCGCCTCATGAGCGTGAATCGTCGGACGGCCGTGGATTTCAGAACAGCAATGGCAGATGGATCGAAAACTCGAATCGAAGCCGAAATTTCTGCCCTTGTGAGAAAGCTCGAGTCCGAATGGTTTTTTCCTCGAGAGCGATGGGCCGAGAGCGAATCGAGTGTTTTCTGAGGGAGTCGCGCCGAGCAGAAACGCTAGGCCGCCGTGAATTCCCGGAGAGTTGAAGACCGTTGCAGTGGAGGAATGAATCGTTTAATATTTACTTGCAGCCCTCTTTGTTCTCGGCGGAAAGTTTCAACGAGGCCCAACGTCAGCTGGGCCTCGCAACTGGATCACAATTGTGTCACAATGCGGCAACGCCACCGTTGCTGAGGTCTGCCTCCGATGACGCTCTGCTTTCGACCGCTTCAGCTTCGGCTCCTCTCAGTCAAGATCTCGATACCGCAGGACGTCAGGCCGATTGCGGTTCGCCGTTCTACTATCATTCCCTGAGGTTCCTCCTGGTGGGCGATTCAGACGTGGGGAAGAACGAAATTCTAGAGAAGTTTCAGAATCATCGTTTACCGCTCGTTAACCAAAAAGAAGTCGAATTCAAAACAGCCCTCATCCTGCTCGACGGCAAGCAAGTCAAGCTGCAGCTATGGTGAGCGAGCGAGACCGATCAAAGGGGACATGACTCCCAATGCGTAACTTTCGCATATGACTATAACAGTAATACAGCTCCGTGGGTGGTATTGATGGCTCTGCATCTTCTCAGGGACACGTCGGGCCAGGGTCGGTTCTCGACTATAATCCAAAGTTATTCCCGGGGTGCTGACGGGATAATTCTCGTGTTCGACATCACCAATAGATGGTCTTTCGAGTCCATCGGCAAGTGGCTCAAAGAAGTTGACGAGTACGCGTCTGGTGTACCTAGAGTACTCGTCGGTAATCGACTTCACCTCGAATTCAGACGAGAGGTGAGCATTGGCCGAGTTCTATGCCCAAAACGATTTTTCCGATCGCCAAAGGTTTGAGATTTCGAGTTCGTCTTCTCATAGTCTTTCCGAAATCTTCTACCCTCACATACGCAGGTACCGAAGAACGCTGCTGCGCAATACGCCGCGAAACACCGCATGTCTTACCTCGAAGTGAGTTCACTCGCGGATTACAACATCACTGAAACCTTTGTGGACCTCAGCCGTCAAGTTCTGAACAGGATTCGCTTGCACTCATGGCACGAGAGTCGAGGTAAGCAGAGTCTCCGCTCCGCTTCCGAAGAGCATCCCCATCATTGGGACCCCATTTTCCCCCTAGAATCGCCCTACCTGGCAGCAGACTTCGAAACTGACCCAGAACCTTGTTTTCAGTGCTGAGTCTTCAAGAACTGTGTTGCCGCACGATCGTACAGCGGACCACGTCATACTCAATCGAGCGATTGCCGCTTCCGACGAGTGTTAAATCAAACCTGAAGTCGTACTCGCTTAATCCTTACCTTTCATCGGTGGTCAATTGCTGTGCACACAAGCAGCACAAATGTTGTTTGAATCTTCATTCGAAAAAAGGGCGAAGATCCAGTAGCCCTCACAATCTCCTAGAGACCATACCTACGCTTAGACACGACAAGAAATGCACGATAAGTTAGAATACGAAAGCTTCTTGGACAAATGATTTAGCTCTTTTTCAAACAATGTAAGTTAAATTGACTTTGCCACGGAGTATGACCCACGATAATGAGTCGGCCGTGTCTCGGGGGCGATTTCGGCCATTGTTCGACCAGAGAGTCGCTCTTTGCACACAGTAACCCCAAACTACGGAGTTGGCCAAAATATTCGGATTTTGTCATCGATAAGCGAGACATTGTGACATTGAAGCACGCACGGATTTCGGAGGGGAAGGGTCGCGGGCTAGCAGATCGTGCTGGATGGATTTCGGACGATGTTCTCACAAGACATTCATCGGGAGGCCCGATATGCTGACATTGGAATTGATGTACGCACCAAGGAAACTGCACAAATGACTTGACGCGAGAGTGCTTGCAGTGAGTGAATTTTCAGAATTGAAAAATATGTACTTCAGGGATCCAAACTGATTGATTCGATAGGCTTGAGTGGAATATTCGATCTACGACAGAAGACCGGTCGATTCTCGCTCTTCGTTCTTACTATTTGGCTTGAAAAAAGACAGATGCACACGGGACCATGGGAATCCGAATTGAGATTGTGACTATGGATGATTTGGTGGAATCTGACGGAGCCCGTTGAGAGGTTCTTGTGACTCATGTAGGAGATTTTCTGCGTATATAGTTGTAAACATGTAAAAACCGGTATCGAGATGTACAAACATTCTTACCGTCGATGCGAATAAAATGCCTCGATCTGTGGAACAATTGTCTCGTCTCTGCAAGGCAGATCGTCGAGTGCAGGACTCTGGTGACTGAATCACATCAGATTACAGATAGTTCCAGGGAGATGTTCAGGGTTCCCCACTAAACCGGAGCCTTCCCGGTGCCACCTTTGAGTAGCTTTGAGGTCGGAGTGCCGCCATATACGGCAGACAGCGACCATTTTCCGAGGTCACGAAGGACGAGAAGCTTGGTTTCTCACCGAGGTTCAGCGCGAGGGCTGCTGAATCGAGGAAATTCGTTCATTTGGCCGAGGGATTCTACGGTGATTCTCCACGAATCGAGCAAAACCTTCTCCCCGATCATTCTCAGCAGCTCCCACCTCGGAGAAATGTTTCGTCGGGACACTGTTTACACAAGTCTCCCCAGTGAGTTATCCCCTCTGCCGATGCGTACTTGAGGTTCCCTGATCGAGGAATGCGCGGGCATGTCCTCCACGTATTATCCGATCCGATGGATGTCATCCGCTGCCACTATTGGTATGGTTTGATTAAATGAATGCCTGAATCCGTTCACACGAGTCTGCTGGTATTCTGCGGCTTTCCGGTCAATCAAATCCAAACCTAGGTCTACCAAGTCCTGTCTGGAGAGAAGCATACTATCTGAGACCACGGGGCTCATCCCGGGGAGAGCACAGAAATCATGAAGAATCACCGTCTCAAAAAGCTCCCTCACCCATGGGCTGGAGGATGCCCATGGACAGCGATCTGATCCATCGATGAGGAAGCCATGCCCTCCGCCCAAGAATCCTCGATCCCTACTCAAAAGCATGGGCCGTGAGGTGGCGCGTCATCATTTGCGGCTCTTCTCCCCCTGAAAATATTACTTGCCCCCTCCCCAAGAAAGAAGCTGGATCCGCCCCTGCTCCGAAGAATACGTTTTGATAAATCCAGTAGACTTACCTAGGAAGAAGCTTCCTCGCCAGAGCATCCCACCAGCGACCAGATGCATGGGTGAGCCTCCGATGATAATTTGGGACGAGAGCTCTCTCTCTCTGTGGAAAGTATCCTCTTGAGCAGATTCACGAGGATACTTTCGAGCGTGAATCGCTAGCTTCCGGAGGCGAGTTTCGATTATTATATTTTTGGACCGCTTTCACACGTATAACCCGATTTCTCGCAAACGGAAATCTGCCATCTAGTTATGAATCTCACGACGCTTCACGCCGCAGTGGAGACATCTCTCATCTCTGGTGAAGATTACAGAGTGCGAGGGAACTAAGAGGGTGGGGCTCGCGGGCTGCCGCGAATTCACGGAGGACAACGGATACTCCAACTTCACGGAGGGAAACGCTTCTCGCCCACCCGTCGAATACCGACTCGTCTGGAATATCGGTGTTTTCACATGTGCGTAGTGGAGGGCGGCTGTCAGATGCGTTGCAGGCGGAGAAGGAGTCGAGAGCGGTGGCTCGATTGGGGTCTCCGCACCGACAGGCAGGGCTTGAAATTATTCCGGAGCGGAATACAACATGCATCGTGATTCACGTGCAGTTCATCAGGACCGGTTCCCAGCGCTGCCCCCAAGACGCCCAGAAGACATTGTCCTCATCTCCGCTCTCGGAGTACCTGTCGGCGACCCATGAGAGTTCTGTCGGGGCCGGGAAGCTCGATAGATTTCGACGTGAGTCTTCGGGGTCAGCTCCATCATCCATGGATTTTTATTTCCGATGCAATCGGGCACTGGAGCTGAAGATTGCTCCTGAATCGGCAATGTATCCAATGCTGCGCGCTCATGCGTCAATCAGTGATTTCTTCTTGTACAGCTCTGAAGTGTCTCGATCAGACTCGTATCGAAACCGGATTCACTCGTTTGTCCATCGCAACGATCAGCCACCTGCGAATCTCTCGCAAAAACTCTCCGCCCTCATACCCCCCAAACCGAAGCCAAGCAAACATCCACACTACGGGCATTAAGAGATCATCTCCCATCTCCTCGTTGTGCAGGTGCTCCTCCTCAAAGACTAGTTCTCTTTTAATCGCTGGCCTGCTCTCTCTCCAAACTACATCTAAACAAAGGACACCTTGTTATGTGTAGACTCATCCGACTAAGCTGGCCAAACTGTACGACTCTCGAGCGAATCTCCGCGGCCGACCGATGGGAATGAGTGAACTACGCGGGGACCGTTCCAAGAAAATTCACCTTTATCGTTGCGCAATCGCCCGGGTACGTTTTCGTCGAGTTTCGTAGATCGGAACTCAATCACAGAAGAATTTCCCGTACGGAATGATAAGAGTGCCGGCACTTGACATAGCGGTCGAGCGCGATAGCATCGTCTTATCTCCCAAAGGCTGTTCCGTCCGTGGCCAAAATCCTACCCCTAAGGAGTTTGCCAGGGCGTCAGACCAACCAATTCAACCAAGTCCATTCCAGGTGGATATCTCGCTCTGATTATTATGTATCAGCCTCGAACCGCAAGCAGACTAAAAGGACGAAATATTGAGCGTCTGAGATTTCTGCTCAGAGAATCGGTTCGACGCTCGAGTCGCCATCGAACTGGGGACTGCATCCCGAGCGTGTCGCAATAGACCGATGCGTATCGCGCGCTCGAGACGCTGCGGTGTTGATGGCTGATCCTTCTACAAAATCAGATCATCGTCGAGGTCAAGCTCCTAATTAATAATTGAGTCTTCCACCAATCTGAAAATGCTGAACTCCCCGAATGCTCTGGGAGCTAGACCCGGATCAAGTTCGCGCGCATGATAGTTCCGCAGAGGACCGACATCGAAACGCCAGAAGTGTTTACACGATGAACAGCTGATTCCGGCGCGCGAGCGAGTCAGCGGTGTTTAGGAACTCGTGTCAAACTTGGGTGCCATCTGTCCACCTATCACATTCCGGTCTTCCATATGAACCCCTGAACATATGGAGGAACACGAAACAGTCCTCTCTGAAGTTCACATTGGACTTCCAGTCTGCTCTACGTCGACCAATGTGGTGTCGAGATTCGAATTCGAGGTTCCAGCCGGTCTTTCGCTTCGAATCGAGCGGAACTCTGAGGAAAGCAGCGACAGTGAGGATCAGGAACCGCCTAGAAGGAGACAACCGCCTCGTGAAGTTTTGTTCATCGAACATAACATGGCCACGGCTCTGAGCGATGTGGGACTCCAGGTTTGGCCGGCTGCGTTGGCAATGGCCGATTTCTTGCTTCACGAGCACGAAAAGTTCAAAGAGTCTCTTCTTCTGGAAATCGGTGGCGGTGTGGGTCTCTGTGGTCTGGTTGCGTCTCGGGTTGCCAAGAAGATCGTCTGTTCGGATTACAAAGCAGAAATCGTTGACGCAATGAAGACGAATTTCTTGAAGAACCGCGGCGTGGTGCGCGATAACTTCGAGTGCCTTGTTCTAGATGTGAAGGACGCTGAAGTTGTTGACTGTGATTTTCTGTTCGGCAGTGACTTAATTTACGACGATGAGATAACCGATAATATTCTGAATTTCGTCAAGAGATCCCTCCTCAAAACTACTGTCGCTTTCTTCTTGTCCCTAGAAAAACGCTTCAATTTCACGATAGACAATTTAGAAGAGTCATGTCCTGCGTACAAGCATTTCCGGGAGTGTTGTCAACGGCAGTGCTTACAAGTGGAAAATATTGATCTCGAAGCTGTCCCTCAGTACTTCAAGTCGTTGCCGAGATCAAAACATATAGAAATATTAGAGATAAGGATTCAAACGCCAGATCCATAGTTTCTGAGGTCTCGATACATGCATATTCATCGCGAGTGTCGTGCCTGCAGACAAGAAGTCACGAGGGGTTCACAATTATTAAACAAATGACCGAGCATATTCTCTTTTTTGCTAAAGTCACCTCTTGCTCGGAGTCTGTCATAGGAAAGAGCAATGTCGGCAATCTCATGGATTCTAGCTCGCCGATGAAGAGACGCCGTCGAGAGACATCGCAAGCCGTGGAGTTCAGTTTTTCCAGGGCTCCGAGGATGGAACAAGGCTCGAAGACGCGCATTGAGCGGGGACCCCGATTCCGAGTAGCTCTCCTGACGATTTTTCACCGTCCCGGAGTCGATGGAGCTCCACCTCGATGACTCCAATGCGATACACTCAATATTCCTCACTCGGAACATCGACGAATCCGGAGAAGCTAGGCTTCTCTCGGCAAACTGCACGCCGTCGATCTGCAATTGTCTACTATCGCTTCCGCGATCCAATAGCGCTGCTATGTACATGCCGGGAACAAGATGTCAGAGACGAAACCTGTCGCATTCGAGGTGGTCGTGGGCCGCTCCTCTCAATCGAAAGCGAAATCTCGAAGAAGCTATCCAAAATCGATTATATATCGTCTGGGCGTAGTTTCCCGAGGTCGAGCCTCATAATGAAGCCTAACTCCGCCTCGATCCGCCCACCGTACTCCCAATGAAGAGATCGCGGGAAGCCATAGCCAGTTTCCTTTCGGACTTTGTCTGGATTCCTCGGCAATAAAATGAATACAGCAGAATCTGCGGTATTACAGTACTCGAGTCCGCTAGCCGTCCAGGACGAGCTCAAGTCCGAGTGAGTACGGCTTCCGAATCCTTGTGAATTCTTCCGTGAGTGATCTAGTGCCTTGGTTTCTCAAAGCTCCTCTCGTTCCAGAGTATGCAGCGACTCAGGGGACCTTCAGTTGCTCGACTGTGTGGACCAGACGTATTTCCCGCAGCAACAATTCTACCCGGACCCTTACCAAGAATACGTGTTCAACCACTACGAGCAGGACCCAGGGAGGGTGTTCCACCCGGCGGACTACCACCACCTTCATGCGGAGAGCCGGCCCGGTGTCGACGAGTTTCGTCTGGTGCCCGAAACCCAGGAATACTTCGATTTGCAGCAGCTCGAGCGCTCCGACGTACCTTACCCTGTGGAAGGATGCTCATCGTCCGAAAATTTCCACGTCGACCCAGCCTCGCTCTTGACCCACCAACGGCACGACGTTCCCCCGGAAAACCATTATCCCACTGCAACTGCAGACAACATCTGCACAGCCAGCAGCGGTGTGTGTAGTAACAGCTGCACGATCTGTGGCCGTTACTACGCACGCACGTCAACATTGAAGACGCATCTGCGGGTTCATTCCGGCGAGAGACCGTACGCTTGCCTCCAGTGTCTGAAGCGCTTCTCCCAGGCCGCGAATCTCACGGCTCACATGCGAATCCATTCAGGGGAAAAGCCCTTCCTTTGTCCAATATGTCATCGAAAGTTCTCGCAAAGTTCTTCAGTCACGACTCACATGCGAACGCATTCCGGTGAGCGACCTTATCTGTGCAATCTGTGTAAAAAGAGCTTCTCCGATAGTTCCACCCTAACGAAACATTTCCGAACGCACAGTGGCGAACGCCCCTATCAGTGTCGGATTTGTTTCATGCGCTTCTCTCAATCGGGTAACCTGAATCGTCACATGAAGATTCATGGCCAGAAAGGCGCTTAGATAACATAACTTTATTAATAAGCCAATTCCGAGTATTCATGTATTCAATAGAGTGTCTCGAACCGAACGAGGAATATCTACGCGCCGGCAACGATCATGACTGCGCTTATCTGTGCAAACTCATCTCGAGCCATTTCCTTGGCCATATCATCAATACATCTTGAATCCCTTCGATATGCGTGTATTCAATCGTGGAACACCGATAAAGATTAGTCTCGAACCTAATGCTTGGGGGGAAAAATCGTCCATGAGACGCTTGGGGCATGAACCAAACCTAAATTCGACGAGCATTCGAAGGGAGGAAATAACGAAAATTCGGGAGCATTCGTGGCTCATCCGTGCGAGGTCGGAACTCGAAGCCTCGCTGATATGAGGGGATACGGGGAGTTTCCAGGTGATTTTCCGAGCCGCAGGAATGGCGCTGCAAACTCATACTTCCGCTCCCAACCGACGGCGAAGCACTTATTCTACAGAACACTTATTTGGGAGCTACTATATCCTGAAAAAAAAAGGTTTGGACCCGAGAGGAGGTCCCTCCGCCTTGAGGATCTCCTGCCGCGATTTGGGTCAAGCTGCATGAACGGCACTAATTTCGAGCTTCTCGAACCCAGATGTGCTCAAATCGTGCCCTTCCGGAGATCGTGTAGCGAGGAACATTTGCGGTAGCGCTTCTGGGAAAAGCTCTCCATACTTGAATTTCTCCGAGTTCGACTACAGCTTTTTCCTAGAGTGTCAACATAATTCGGCCAAAAGCGCACATACATATCTGCCAGACATCGTGTACTCCTAAAGAGGAAGTATCCTGAGAGGAGGTAGGAGGTAGAGCCTAACGAGTGGGCGGGCTCTCGGGGGAACGTCGGGTAGAGGGTCGAGGGGAAACTCGAAATAGAGAGCGAGAAGCCTCACAACCATCCGGAACGACGATGAACTTGTTTGTATTTGACCCTGATGTAGCACTAGATCTTTCTCCTTCTCACGGCGGAACGGGGAACATGTGCCCTCAATCGGAGAGCATGCGTGGATTCGGACGAGCTTAGTCGAAGACAAGATGACTTAATCTTCCCAAGTTACGACTTTATTATCCTCTCACAACTCAAAGACGTTTCTGGTACCTAGCTTCGATTCGAGTCAAAGCGAGCAGAAATCGCTAATCTATATGCTCATATCCGATGAAATCAAGCTTATCTACAAGATGACTTTAATTGAATTAATTGAGCTTCTTGTTCCGTAGGGCTGGATTGAAAGAATCCATAGAGTGGAGTACACCGGTTTCTCTCGCGAAGAACGCCAACGCTGACGCGGGGAACCAACTGCAACAAATTTCCGTGCTTAAAATCATAGACAGGCGGTATATCGATGTCGGATCCGAAGTGTGCGACAATATCCATATTCATTCGACAGCTATCATCAGACGCTTCTGTACGATAGAGAGGTCCCCGGGCTTCAAGCAAGCGTTCTCTTGTTTGGCCCGTTCCCCATCTCGTGAGAAAAAAAGGTTTGCTACGGAATTCTTTGTACAGCGAACAAGACCACGGGAGGAATCTCTATCTCAAGGATATCGATACGAGGGAACAACAGAGGCAGTCATTGGTAGTCGAACCGCAAACTCGACACGTCGCGTCGCCTCGTTGACTCCGGCAGTGACATGCGGATTTTCCATGGGAGTGTCGGATAATTTATATTGGAGGGCCTACAGGGCTTCGCGTGCTTCTCCAACTTGTAGAGTAAGGGAAGATGGGATCATTCAGCGGAAGGATCATTGCCGTCCATAGATCCACCGCTGATTGTCTCATACTTTTCGGAGCAACAGGATTACAGCCATAAATTTTGGTGAGGGTCGGTCGACCACTTCTCCAGACGATCCATCTTATTGGAAAAACGTCGACTACGGATCTTCTGTTCGTGAAGTCCGCACCAAAGATTCCCCCGTGAGCTCAGAGAAGGAACTCAAAATGTCCCATGATCTCGCTCATAAACTCTATGCGATGATGCCAATGGAACGGAGAAGTGTGATGGCGTGATGACCACAGAAAAATTGATCGCGATGTACGTATGTTTTAGTAACTCTGTTTCTTCTGTGTTTATGCGTTTCGCCAAGAGTTTCCCCTCTCATCCCAGACAAATCAAGTCCCGAGCCGTCGGCAGTCAATCACAGTCATTCTGGATCTCTCGAGCGGGGTTCCGCCCCCACAAGCGAATCCCCATGACGTCTCAACAGGATGCTGAATGAGCGAATACATAATCTCCATGACCTCCGTTCTCCCAAACGATAAGAACCAGGAGCCCCTCCCCCACCGGAGATCCATTGGGTGCAAAAATATTTTCTGGCTCTACTCACTGTTTGAGAGCCACGAGTGGCACCAGATGCGGCGGCAGGATTACGACGTCCTTGTTCAGAAGTACTCCCTTGACCACCTCACTCGCGACGTAGTCCGGCGATAGGAAAGCGAAAGCTCCTCCGTTCACCCCGTGGAACATTCCAGTGTCAATGAAGTACGGACACACCACGGTGGATCGGATACCGGTGTAGCCTGGGGATGAATAGAATTACTGAGGAGGTACAGCCATTCAGCTCTCAGAGAAATCGATCAGTTGAGCTTTCTCGCTCGAGATCTTGACAATTCAAACCTACCTTCCTGGTAGAGCTCCAGAGCTAGTGATTCCGCGAACCCGACGGCTGCGAACTTCGTCCCGCAATAGTCAGTTAGTCGATTGACTCCCGTTTGTCCCGCAAGCGAGGCAATCGACACGATGTGGCCATGGTTCGAGGATTGCATGTCGGGCAGGAAAGCTTTCACGATCTGCAAAAGTTCGAAAATAATGAAACCTGATTGACCGAGTCGTCCTGTCCTTCACCGGGGTCTCAACGCACTGCAATGATGCGCTTCTCATGACGAGCTTGTTTGTCATCCAGGGAGCACCGCGAGTTTCTGATGGTACCTCGTACACACGTAGCGCGATGACGTATTTTCGTCGAATAATAATTGCGCAGACCATCGCGTGAAGCGAAGTCGTGCTCATAGAGAATATCAAGACGATCGTCCGTCTCAATCAATTTCGATTCCAACAGATGAGTTAAGCACAGCTCAGAAAATTTTTTTGCATATTCGTTCATGAGAGAATTCCCCTGACTAGGGATGTACACGAGAGACGATTGCTCCATCAGAGGCCGTGATACTTAGTTCAGTACTTTAGTACATCTTCGAAGCCAAGTCCTCGATCCTCCCGATTCGGATCAAGCAGACTTTTCTGCTGCATGATCTCGAAGCAAGTGCCACGCTCGTCAAGAATTGGCAGAATTGAATGAGTTCTCTCCTTCGGCAGCATCTCCTCTACTTGGGGTCAACCGATGATGACGGGAGCCGCGCATGATCGAGAATTCTTGAGAGGAATCGCGTTGAGATCAAAACAACGTTATGCCGCCAATCCCGGCACCCCGTCCCGAAGCAGGATTGAATCTTCTCGAACCGAGAGTCGATGCGAGACCTATCCAGAGAATATTACAGCGTCGCATGCCAGCAATCCGAGCGAGAATCGAAAAGAAAGGTAAACAAGATGCCGTCAGGCCTGGAACCTCCTGCCGAGCGACGTGGACTATTTCGTCCGAACCCACTCATCGTCAGAATGTCGTTCTGGGAGTACCATCCGAATTGTCTGCGACGCGCTAGACCCGAATCTTTCTCTGTTGGCGGACACCGTGATTGCGGAGAGGGACGTCGCAAACCTCTTGATGCTCGTATCTTCATTGTCCTTGGGAACAATTCGCTATTCGTGAGCGATTCCAATCGAACAGCTGAGATCACAAGCAGATCCTCGGCAAGGTCTGAGCCTGGAACAGCGATGACTCAAGCATCGAAACAGCTGTTTCGACAAATCTAAGCTGAGGATTCGGAGCTCTCTGCCTCGAGCTCGCGCGCGGAAGAATCTTGTTGTCTTGCGAAATACAGCGTCAGATCTTACGGCAGAAAACTCAGACATGCCGCCGGCATGCTTCGGTGCGGATGTCTTCACCCTGCGGATGTTACATTGCTGCTCCTCACTTCCGAAGACCCAGCATGCATCATCTTGAGGAATCACTCCGTTCCCTGATACCGCAGAAAAAAACACTCACAAACTCCTCAGAAGTGGAAACTTTGGTCGGCCACAGCGTATTATGCGTCGGCATACGACACTAGGGAGCCGTGCTTTTTTGACTTAAACAGAAAATTTTAAATCCGTAGACATTCGTAGAGGAGATGTGGGAAGTAAATTCCGGTAACAAAACTGTCGATATTGTTCTTGCAGGATTCCGTCGCTTTTAGCGTTTCGCGGCGCGCGAATCTGACGGCTGTTATCATAAGGAAGAGCCACTCCGTTCGTGACAGATACTCAGGCATAGCTCCGCTTCCGCGAGGCATCGCCACATCGAACACTTCCCGAATTACGAAAGCGACGAAACTTCAACTCTAGAGTAGAAGAGAGATGAAATGTTTCTCATCGGTCTCTTCGGGGCTCACCCAATAATGTGCCAGACAGTTGACAGCGAACGACTTCTCGATTTGCTCGTCTTGAAGCTCCAGCAATCGTTTTCCATATACGATTCCAGCGTTATTAACGATGATGGACACCTTACCAACTTCATCACGAACTTTGTCAGCCACTGCGTAGACTGTTTGTCTGTCGGCGACATTGCATACGAACGAGAAGGCGATACCGCCCTTATCTGAAAGAATCGGCATCAGCAATTAGTTCCTAACTTTCGCTGCTCGAAATTTATCCCCGCCTCAACGTGTTTCACGATAATTCACATGCATTAGGAAGGCGTCGATTCCTCCAATCCGATAAATTTCTGGTGAACCTGATCTTCTGCGCGAAAAGTTGGACATCAGAAGAAAACTTCTACTCATTACGATAATACAAATTACATCGAAGATGACGAGAAGCCACGGTCGCAAAGTGCGCGAGATCGCTAGTGAGTGTGATCTGGTGTCAGGTCCAGAGTTTGATCATTTTGATGGAGATACATTCGCACCAGATCCACCGGGAAATCGACAAGCCCGTAGCTCGACATTCCACCGTGTTAATCGCTGGAGTTAGATATTGTTGCATGCGCAACAATCGGTCTACGCCGGAAGGAGCTGAGGAAACAGTCCCAAAAAAATGGAGTTAAGCCGAATTCGGGCCCGAAAGTCCCCGAAAGTTTCGCCTCAGTCAGTCCAGCTGGCAGCTATCGAGCGATTGATCGCGGTATCGTAGTGCCGGCGAGCCCGGCATGCGATAATCTCTTGTCGGTTATCGGAATTGAGCGTCTCTGAGGCCCGCCCTTTGCTCGACTGGCAGTCGAGAGACTGGACTCAATCGGCAACGATTGACTCTCGATCGAGTCTCATCGCGAAACCACTGATAGAGTACATGACTAATCCGATCAGTTTCGACGCCGACTTCGAAAGCGAGAAAACGCGTTTCTTTCAGATAGATTACAAATTTTCTAGACACTCGATCTCTGCGCGGAGAAGTCTCGCGGCATCATCGATTTCAGATTCGATGAGGGGAATCATCGCTCGAGTAGATGAGCGTTATCTGGAATTAAATATCGAGGAATCGAGGCACTGTGTCTTGATTCTGTCAGCAGTTTGAGACATGCGAATAACCATTGGGAACGACAGAGATCGTGTCGGTATCTATATCCCGGCGAGAAGGTTGGGATCGATCTCTTCGAAGCCCCTAGTCGAGTTGGACTTGGACATTTGGATCATTCGACACTGGTCGAAAGTCCGGCTCTGTCTTCCGTTCGCGCGATCCAAGATTCTGGTGACGGGATCCCCGGAGGGTTTCGCAATTCGTATTATATTCAGCCAAAAAAATTCTGTGCGTCAGTGATTATCCGAGCTTCGGACTCCCGCGATGCATCGAAGATTGACGATCCTCCTCAGAAATTCGCCATAGTTCAATCATTAGTGCTTCAGAGAAAGTCGAATCGTTGGCAACTCCGAAAGGGTTGGCACGCACTTGAGGATCGAATCATCAGGGACGCGTCAGAGAATTGGTCATTGAAGGAATCATCAACCTACTTTTGATATCGTTGACCGTTTCTTCCATTCCGTCCTTGCTGATGTCCCAGCAGACAACTTTAGCTCCTAAGTCGGCGAATTTCGTGGCCATTAGCCTCCCGATTCCGGATCCGGCTCCCGTCACGAGCACAATTTCGTCCTGGATGTTCTTGAACCGTAACTTTGAGGGCACAAACTTTAGGACGAAGGCTTCGAGGATGAAGTAAAACACCATAACTATATTGGTGACCAGGCGCGCGAATGCCTGGAAAATATTCTGGTCGTCGGGTGGGCCTTTCACCGGTTGGGGAACGAAACTGGCGGTCGTCGTGCTGGTCATGATGAGTGTACGAACAGAATGAAACGGTTCGAAACGTCGTGTGTTCTGAACTGAGCCAGGCGAGCAATCTCTCGCGATGGAGCGGCGGAGAGGGACAGAGGTGGTAATCGAGCCAACCAGCAAGACTGTGAGCAAGGCAGGCAGGCAGGCTGCAGACGCGCGTCCAGAGATCGTTTTCTCTCCACCACCACAGAGGGGCAACAAGTCGTCGTGAGCAAGAGTCTTGAAAACGGACTGCGCTTTTGTAGCGGAATTACTTGTAGTATCTCAATCATCAGTGTTGTTTTCGGAGAGGGACTTACGAGAATCAGGGAATGGTGACGGCGTTGGTGAGCTTGCGGGATATCTCAGAGGAGAGGATGGTTCTACGGATGTCTTGACAGCAAGCGATCTGACAGCAGATCCGTCTCGGATGAAAGAGATACCTTTTTTGAGACACGGTATTCGATGAACGGCTCATGAACGGCCCGATCGGGAGAATGAGTAGTTCTCTTGTTAACTGATCTTTGGGCGACAAGCGCTGGACTTGGTGAAGGCTCATCGAGGAATTGAGTAAGGCCCTGGCTCTCTTCCTCATCGGAGTAATTCGCCCCACGAGGCTAACTGCTCCCTTCCGGGAATCATCGACGCAGGGATCGGTGAAGCAGGAGCTCTATCAGCCAGAGCTTCGTCGACTCTAGAGTTCAGACCAGCCTGCGAGATCGGAACTCTACTAACAAGAGGACCGCATGCAATCGATTATCACGAAGCGTGTGAACTATCTCGACTCCAAACCCACCTTCAAGATCTCCGACGAATTGTCAGAGTGTCCTACCCGGGTCGTGCTCTTTTGAGTTGTCTCTAGAATTGCGACAGGATCATTCTCTGATAGGTGAATATATCATAGCGCAGCGTCTGTCTCGGGGGCTCCCATCGATGATTGGACGCCGAATGTTGACGAGGCTAACCTAAGAATTGCGTCAGATTCCTTCCCATTGTGGATGGAGATCCTTCGAATCAGGGCCTGCTCCATGACGGAGTGAAGCTGTAGCAAGGTGCTACTGGACTCTATGTGAGGATCCCTCGGCACACAAGACTCCGATGTTGGAAACAGATCCGGTTCCAGGGAGCTGGTTGGACGGGATGTGTGGAAAAGAAAAGTCACAGAATCGCATTCCATCTCCATCCGAGAGGCAGGGGTGAAGTTTTGAGAAGAGACTGGGCAGCGACATGGAATACGTCTCAGGGGCATCAGCCCAGGATTCTGGAACCCATTCGAGTCTTGAACACGGATTAAACACCTTCCCTCGTTCTGCATGATTGTTGCTTGAAGTCCTGAAATCCTGTACGCGCTCTATCAGCTCAGGACGCGGGCGAAAATGTACTGCAACGATGCGATGATATTTTATCGGTACCGTTAACTTAGCAGCGTCCCGCGCACCGGTTATGATGTGTAACTAATGAGGGTTTTGCCGGAGCGGTGAATTCGTCGCAAAAACTGCGGCTTCTATCTCTACGGAAGATCGTATCGGGAGACCGCGACAAACCGCCGGGTTCCGCGATAGCCTCGCTGACTCTGGAGACGCAGTCTGCCGCCCGAAGAGCCTATCTCCGCTGAGCGCAGTCCTGAGATGAAGTTCTCTAGGAAGGAGATGCTCCTCGATGTATCAAGAGAATGATCCCCGGATCGGAGACAGCTCTCCTTACTTTGATCTTGATTCGCTGATGTGTCGGGGTTCCATGCCAATCTTCGGTGTCTCCGTGAAGCATCAAATCATGCCGAATCGGTCAAGGTCGATACTACATCAGGTCCGACGCTCATGGTGATATGATAGCATATCTATTCACTAGATAAGACAATCTGACGCGATTTCGGACACGATGCACACACAAGAACGGAAGCCTAGGAATATTCGGCGTGAGATAGAGAGATTTCGGACGAGAATGACTCGAACGATATCGCGTCGTGAAAATTCCTGAGTCGATGCATCGCAGAGAGCTTCCGAAAATGATGTATCGCTGCCAGGCCTGTCATTCTTGATCGACGAGTCGAAGATTTTTGGGAAAGGGAAGATCGCGGTCTCACAGATCATGATGACCAGTAGACGGCGTATTGGAGACCTCTTCGAGGGAACCGGTTCCCTACTTCCCTCAACGGCAGGGAGGAAGGAGCCGCTCCCCTTCCACCCCTGCATGTGGAATTAGCGCTCAGAAACTGCAGATTGATACATTGATGGACTTTTATCCCCCAGCGTCATGGCTGGTTACGACAAACCTCTCTGACTCAGTTCACTCCGATTTCCTCCTGAGTCTTCCTTCTCTTATACTCGACAGCAAATTTCGTGAGAAAGCCGCCTTCACCGACTGCGAGCAACCAATAATAGTACAACAGTGTAGTCCCCGGAGTCGAAGGCCATCATGCGAGGTCGTAAGGCAGCTGTCTCCAGTCCTGATTTCCCGATTCGATCGCCTTATGGGGTCACCCTGGAGGTCATGATGTCATCCGGAAATAAGGCATGACGTGAAATCCCTCCCACAGTCGCACAGAAGCTTCTTACCGAAAAGCATTGACGAGACGGATCACGAGACGTCGCAGTTGTCAATTGATATAGTACTACAATAGCACGAGCGATTTCGGGGAGCGTAATGCCTTCATCGCACACGCGGATTCCACGAGGTCTCCTCTCACGATCTCTCCGGCGGGATCGGAAAAATCACAGGGCGAAGCTCCAACTGTACTCCAGTGTGAGTCGAGCAACGACCGGATTTACACTCGTCACCGTGGCATAGCGGGTACTTGCGCGATCGGGTCTCCTCGGAAGTGCCTCCAGAGCATTCTTCGATTAAGGCCGATGCCTCCATGACTCTCAAGCGGCCAGCTGCCCGAGGAGACTCGAATGGGCCTGATCTCCTATCAAGCAATTGGTATTGAGTTTTTCAGTGTGGACAACGACATCGGATGACATCTCGACACGAACGAGGCTGTCGGTGTTGAGCTCGGAAGGTTGCCAACAAAAGTCCTCGATTAGGTCCAGATCCCGAAATACGGGGGTAGCAATTAACAGTGTTCACGGCGGTCAACTTTCGCACCGAGTCCCGCATAGAGCCGAACCTCATGGAAGGGATGGTGATAGCCCAATATTCCGCTGGAATGGTTAGTTTCGAACTTGAAAGTCAAAACTCGACGCTCGGCTTGGGCATCCCCAGACCTGGGGTTCCCGGATGGGCCCGAAGGTCGATGATACATAATATAATAAGGAAGCCTGTGATCCTTTGGAGAAGTAGGTATATTCGACTTGGTTTGCGAGGATATCGACCAACCCTACTGCGTCAGAATCCATTATTTCTATACTGAGAGGGCTCATCCGATGAAGACAGCAAAATATCCGTTGTCCACAGCCGACGACTACAGTGAAACCTGAGGTAAGGACCAACTCCATAATCAGTCCACCTGAGCTATACTCTTTTCCCGAGCTCCGAATCAATAGGCTCCCACATTCGCAGACCTGCCCAAAAAGACCTTACTTATCAGACCTAACTCTTCCTTGTACTCCTTGTTGTTTTTTCGGAATATCAACGCAGAGGGCACAGTCGAGAACCTCGGGGAGGGTCCCGCGCTGCAGAAATCGGGAAGCGCTGGTCTAGACCATTGCTGAGGTCGACTTGGCGGACTTGCTTCACTTCGAGCGACGATCTCCGGGCCTATTCTACTCGAGAATGCTCATCGAGTCGAGGCTCATTTTCGTGAGGAAATTTATTATCACAAACCCCGGGTGATGCTTTTATCGTTGTTTGCACCGGGAGTACCGGCGCACAGGATCATTCGAATCCACCCTATTGAGGGATCGGTGATGGTATCGTTGAAGCCGCCCCTGATTCCATCTCGGGTTCTCACGGAGTTGGCGTTTTACCGGTACGTGGCTAGAGCTTTTGGGAAGATATCCTCATATTCCATTGGGAGTCACCGATCGTACTGGAATACGCGATTGCGTGTGAAGTCGGATCTGGGAATTCCACCTTCACGTGATGCTGCGTCTGCCCGAGTACTTCCCCCCATGATACCTGTAAGCGGGGAAGCCCGTTCGCTCCTGGACGGCTGGACGAATAATATTCGAAGCCCTCATCATTCCAGCCCCCAGTCCAACCTCCGAGGGTCGATCGGAGTCTCCCAATGTTTCGGGAGGGCCCTCAAATAACCGAGAATGCTCCTGGCTTGAGTCCGGAACTTCACGAAAGTTGGGCGAGGCGGAAGTGTTTCTGCGAATTCCAGTTCTAGAATGAATTCACTCTGATTTTTTGAGGTTAAGTTTTATTATGGTTCTGCTTTATACATGAGTATCTGTGTACAAATCCGGTCGGCAGTTGTTCTCTTCTCTGAAACTGATAATTCAATGGGGTCAAGCCACCAGGGCCGATAGACTCAGCTTCGAAAAATCGAGTGGAATATACGACCTCTGAACCTGACAAAACTTAAAGTAATCCATAAAAATTTCGATGCTATTGGATCGTGTGATCGGTCCTCTACCGAACGTTCAAGTTCTGCGAACATTAGCAGGGAGTCGGCACACCGTGGAGATTGACTTTTAAGACAGAGTTTCCCGCTCTTCTCCACGTATTTGGTTGGATTTCGGAACGCTGCGATCCCGGATGAGCGCGACAAAAAAATTTACACTATGTCCTCGACGAGGTATGTGGGGGAAGAGGGATATAGATGATGATTCGCATTGGTTTATTGATGATTGATGAATATTTCTCGTACTTCGTCTCTCAGCTGGTTTGCACCTCCCTCGTCGCTTCTGCTACTCGAGGGTTTTACAAATCGGTCGGAAATTTAAGAGGTGATCCACGAAAGTACTAATGAAGATGGCTCATTCAGAACCACAGTGAAAAGTTACTACAGCAGATGGATCCGTCAACGTGGAACTCAGCTCCCTCGACTGCACGAGAGCGTCAAGGGTACGCTGAATGATCCGCCAATCGGTTCGATGGTTGATGGCTGGATCCATCAGTTACGATATAGTAATGCTTTTTAGAGTAGTTGGAGTGATGATCCATCTGAATGTATATGTGTGTATGCAAATACAGAACTAGGTTTCTGCTCTTGATGTTGGATTCTTCCCGACGATGTTGCTTTTGTTGTTGTTGCTGCTGCTTCCACTTTGTTGTTGTTGAAGTTTTCCGCTGTTGACAGTGTTTTTCTGTCCTCTCTAAACATGACAAGTATGAAAAAAGAGAGAGCTGGAGCAAGAGACTGAAGAACTGACAATACCATATGAAGTCGGAGTTTTCTGCGAGTTGGGAGCTGCAACGACGCCACCGCTCATCTCGTTCGAACTCGGTGGAGCTTCTATTTACTCGTCATCGTCTTCATCATCGTCGTCATCGTATTCGGGCTCCGGCGCTGCGGGAACGACGCCACCCTTCTTGTAGGCAGTCATTTCGCGCTCGTATCTCTGTTTGTCCTTAGCTGCCAACTGTTCGTATTTGCCCTTCTGTTCATCGGTGCAGTCTTGCCATTTTCTGCCGAGCTCCTTGGCGACTTCTGCGACGGTGGACTCACCGAGTGTGGCCTTGACCTTAGGACGTTCATCCTGGCAGAAGTGGAAGAAAGCAGACAGAGCTCTCTTCGGTGCGTTGGGGTCCTTCTTCTTGCGGGCAGCCTTGCCTCGGGGACCTTCCTTGGGAACGTAGGTGGACATCTCGTTCTCGTATCGTTTCTTGTCCTTGGCGGCCATGAGGTGAAATCTCTGCTTCTCGGGCTCGTTCATGGTCTTCCAGCGCTCTGCGCACTTTTTCGAGAACTCGGCGAAAACAACGTTCTCATTGGGGTGCTTCTTCTTGTGCTCTTCGCGGCACGTCTGCACGAAGTAGGCATACGCCGACATTCTTCCACGAGGTTTATCTCCCTTGGCCATCTTCTGCAATTGAGAGACTTCGATCAACAACGATCCGAGTTCGTTTGGGGCGACTTCGAGCATCGCTAGTTTATCTGGCTATCGATTGCTCTCCTATTAGGAGAGAGCATTGGGCGAAACCCGGGTCTCGCTCCAATCCGCGAATGAAGTTCGGGGGAGCACCCGCGAAAATTCCGAGAATCCCCGCTCAGAAAATACCCCCCGACCGAAGTTTCAGAAGCGCGGATGCGAAAACATTCGGAATGCCGAAAATGAATCTCGCCGTTGACGAGTCCGCTAGAATGAGCAGACTGCGTTTCACTAGAAACGAGACGCAGGAAAAATCAAAATGTCGAAACGTCAACGGAATCGTACGCGTCGAGTTCAGCAACAGTAGCCGCCAAAGCGAATGGCTGGCTGGCCTAGGGCAGCAGGGCCGCTTGCTTGACTGGCTGGATGTCTATAGGGCTAGTGCAGCCAGCATGCATCGCCCATGCTATCTGAATGGGCGGCTAGCTTCGGCCTATTGAGCCCATGTTGAAGCGAGCCCGCCAAGCCACAACATAGGTCTCTATGCGGAGCGGCGACAACGGTCTCTAGCTACTTCACATCTCGTCCTGACGCCGAAGGTCATCAGTTCGCAGTAATCAGAACCCGGGAACCAATCGCCACGAGTCGATCGAGCCGACGTACGAACTCAGAAACACCCCGAAACTTAAGATAATTCCGCACCATGTTGAGCAATGGCGGGATCGCGGGCGTCGGCCGCGAGCCACAGGGCGCCCCCCAGCCGTTCACTTGTCACACAAGGTCAGATAGCTATAGTGACTCGAACGAAAAGTGCAAATCAAATTCCAGCTCCTTACGTTCAGAGTTCAAGTCGAGCCGGCAGTCTCGCATGCGAGCATCAATCGCGGTAGCTATGGCTATGGAAGTCTATAGAAGACGCCGCTCGCCTACGGCGTCACCAAATAGGCTTAACACGGGCTTCGTCGTGAGGCGAAAACACGCTCAGAAACAATTGAGTCACTTGCGAACATGGCGGGAATTCACCAATTGCCTTACAAGTTCGAGCTTCGGGTCAGATAAGTTGGTCTCGATTAACATGGGACGCTATGGCAGCAGTAGCAGCAGCAGGCAGACAGGCAGCCCAACACAAGGCAGCACAGCCTGCTACAGCATTCATAGAGCCGCAGCCGCCGCAGAGCTTAACACAGTCCCATAGGTTAACATTGTGCATCAAAACGCAGCAAAACTCAGTACAGCGGCCGAATCCACCGTACTCGCTAAATATACGGATAAAGTACGTTACTTACAGCTTGTTCGAGTTGAATGAAGTGAAAATCAGAGAGCAGCTTCGAATAACGACCGTTTCAAAGTGTCCAGGCCACAGCGAATGGCGCCTATCCAGACAGACAAAGCATGTAACCCTATGGGAGGCCTCTCATTGGTCGCGTTTGAAAATGGCGCCGCGCTACAGCCAATGGCGAGCTCTCGCGGAGGGAGCTATAATTCCTATTGGTTTCTATGCTTCAAGGGATCCATGCGCTAGCTGGCTGACTGGCTCTCTTTAGCTGGATGGTGGTGCTGGCTTCCCTGCTGCCTGGCTTCCCTGCTGCCTGCTGCGCTTGCCTGCCTGCCGCTTGCTTGCCTGCTCGCTCACACAGTCGCTGCCGCCGTCGCCGCCGCTGCTACTGCAGCAGCGGCCGCACTCACACAGCTTGGCTGGCTTGCTCGCTCGCCTGCTAAGCCTAACGATGCCGACGGTGGTTCGTAATCGTTGGCGGCCGGCCGGTCAGCCAGCCTGCTAGCAGCACTCGATAGAAAAGAGCGCAAATTCTACTTTCCCGCGCGAATTACTCCATCGAGTGACAAGTAGCGCGTTTCGCTTATGGATCAAAATAAAGCTCTCGGAAAAAAACGGGAAAGTTTCGCGCAATCCGATAATTTCGAAGAATCTTGTTGTTGTCAACGACTCCACCAATGGCGCCCAGACAGCTAAAGTCGGCGGTAAGCAGACCACCTTCTTCTCTGCCGCCTCCCGCCACCACCATCAGCTGTCATGAATTACATAGTAGAAAGAAGACAAACAAGCCATTGCTTGCCAATCCGGCTATCATCACGGAGCTTGCTCATCGATACAGCCGTCTGCTCTCTTGCAACTATCGTTTGCTGTTGCACGGGAAATACAATGCTCTTGCAACTCTCGCTGTCAGCAACCGTTGTCAAGTCGAGGAGCAGCAGCAACGGCGGCAGTAGGAGCGCGGATCGGGGAAAAATATCGGATCGGTTGGAAGCAGAGCCCAAAATATCGCGAACCGGAACTCTTCCGCAACCGGAGAGTCTGGCGCTCCGTTACACTAAGTCCTCATCCTGAGCTCATGATAAAATTGTAGAGCTTCCTGTGAAATACGAGGACGATCGTCCGTCCTCGATTATGGAGCTTGAATGTGCTAGTGGAATTCTACTGGATGCATGCGATGTAAAAATCGGTGGAGGGGTATATTCTGTCATTTCGACGGCACGGCAATATCAATCGTGGGGAAGAGCTGACCGAAGACGATCCGAGATGGTCTTTGTAGAAGTTCGAAATATTCTCGTCTCTCGGAACGTAGTGATTCATGAGTATCGCTCGAGAGATCCACTTACATCGGCCGAGATGCTCATTTGCTAGCCGTGCATCCTGGAAGAAAGAAGAGTACCCTTCCGGATCTTCCCCCCCTGCTCTCTGAGCTCGAATACGAAGAAACTGATGCAATGGCTCCTCCGTTGGATGAGCAACGAAAGTTCCTCTCGCTCAGGAACCCCGAATCTCTAGAAGCTCTGATCTGCGCTCAAGAGATCCAACTCGTCTTCATCTGAGTCGCCGGAGAGGGCATTTTTTTCGATCGACAATTTTCGACGTCCGCCTATGCTCTGGGGAGTCTGCGACCAATATTCTTTCCGAAAGCTGGTTCACAGGTTGTTTCGATGCTTTTATCCTCCGCCGATCGCTCGAATTCGAATCTTCGGGAGAGACTCTCAAGATCATATCTCAGGAGAGGTGTCGATCCTCTTGCATGTATTCCTGCGGACATTTTTTTTCCCTCGAAACTCTGACCCACAGGGGCAGGGAACATCGAAGGAAAGTATACATCGCATCGTTCTGGATGGCGAGCCGGTCTCCCAATATTCGGACGCAGGCCAGAGTAGCGGGAGGTTTTTCTCGAGTATGCTCAGCTCTAGCACGGGGAGGTCGCGGTAGCGAGCGGAGCGAAGTTCGCACCAATGAGTCATGACGATGAAGAACTGATTTAATCGCTCTTGTCTTCGATGCAATTTTCCCTCATCGGTCGGAAGTCGAGGAGGAATGAACTCTCACAGCCTTCCGAAACTTTGCAGCGCTTTCTAACACTGACTATGATATCATTGAGTGATATTCTGATAGAAGTGTCCTGTTTTTGATTCCTTCCCGGAATGCAATGAGTTGTGCGAGCCAGAGCGTTTCACGCATCGCAAAGGAAGGATTTTAAAGGAAGAACTTGTGCGAGTCGTCGGAGAGCTCTCGGCGAGACAAGCCGAGGTTACTGCACAGCGCAGAGCAGGCGAGCAAGCTAGCCAGCCTCACATGAAGCCCTTGAACATCTTCCTCGATTGACGTGGCGGGATCTAGGAATATCATACCAAGGGAACTTTGTACGTCCTTCATGAGGTCCCTACCGCTTCCGTCGGAGGAAGAATCTTCGGTGCTCGCGTGGCGTGTTTCTCAATGGTCCGACCGGCTAATTCACTCGGGAGAATCGAAAATCGAGCAGAGCCGGACCTGAAGGACGTTCCATGATTCGATATTCTAGCGGAAAGCGCTCCGTCGCGTGGAAACGAAGGAGCTCCCTCTTCAAGCTGGGAACGATGCCTCGTCAGGGAATGAACGCTCGCGAGCTCCGCATCGGAGAACAATCCTCCAACGTCGAGGATTCTCGTTGAAAAGCTTGCGATCTCAGATCTGGGGCAGGGAAGCTGAATAGTCCATCGGAGACCTTCCCGTCTCCTCCTTGAGACGAGGACACGAGGAGTCCTGTTGTGATTACCCTTCCCCCGAGATATCCAAGGGGTATTCGAATTTCCTTGGCATTGTATGTACATATATGAGAGAAAGATTAGACATTGTATAAGACCAGGCCTCTGCTGGATTGAATTGAAGGAATCAACGAAGACCCCAGGCTCGAGTCGTCATGGCTCGTCTTCGAGAGGATGTTTTCCGGGAAAAAGAGGTTCAACTGATAATAATAAATAATAATAATTATGATGATAATTTTCGTACGCCAGAACGGTGATGAGGAAACTTAGAAATCAGCAGTGATGTTGTTCTGATTATATGAGGACGATCCATATTCGGTTTATAATGCCAAACCTCGAGCTCTTCTCCCAGGAATTGGCCGGGCGACGAAACGTGTTGACATCATCAATTTACCGTTTCAATCAACAATGCTCTCTAAGGGGTGCCCATCTCCTCGATCCCCTAATTCACACCGCAGCTCGATACGGATAAATACGGATATATCATTCGCGTTGATACATGGATTGCATTCCTGTCTCCGGGTCAACCCAACCTCAATTGTAGCATCCTTGTACGACCGATTTCTAGAAATGCGTAGCGTCTTGGAAAGCGCGCGATCCTGTCATTCGGGTTTTTGATTCTGGCGGGCTGTCCGCAACGTTGTTCAATGCCTGCGGCTCGAAGCTTGTCTATGGTAGTGCTGGCGTGCAGTGAGCCAAGCGAACAGGCAAGCGAGCGAGCCATCCAGCAATACATACGAACCAACGAACGAACACACCGAGCAAGAGGCAGCCAGCCAAGCAACCAAGCCATAGGCAGCCGAGCCATCAGCAGCTCTATGGGTGAACCAAGCGAGCGGCCGGCCGGCCTCTATATCTCTGTGTGTACGAGCGGCGGCTGCTCCTACAGCAGATTCGCTCGCTCGTTCGTTGGCTTGCTTGCTGCCAGGCAAGTCAGCAAGCGAGCGGCGTTTGCCTGTCTGTATTCGCCTATGACTACGTATGGCTGCTGCGATGCGCCGTCGCTTCGCTCGCTGCCTATGCTGTGGCTCGACCGACAGCTACCCAGCGATCGAGCGTCCGAAAGAGCCAGCCAGCAACGTCGAACGAGCGTCTTGCTGGCTACGTTGTTGACGCGCGGACGGAAAATAAAACGACGAATAAAATTGAGACTTTCTCATACCGATGTTTCGACAATTCGATGCTGAGCGATACTCTTCGATTCAACATCCCTCGCAACGGAGGCTCGACACATTCATGCGTAGTCGTGAATGATGTGGATGTAATTGAAACCAGAATTCCCCATGAGTAGTCAAATTGCTCGATTCATTTATTCGGAAGACACTTCGATCGTTTTGGGGGTCCGATCATGAGTCACTTGATCCGTCCTCGAAGGGAGCCGGTGCGGGGATGTCCCACTAGTGTTTGACAGATCTGTGCAGCCTTCTAAAAAAAGCGCGCGCAAACTCTCCGACAGAGCCTGCTTCGTCCCGTGCACCATGTCACATATTGCGGGCGCTTATGCTGGGCTAGGTGTGCGGAATAGAGACATTCGTCGGAAAGTAAATGAATCCGGGTGAATGTACGCCGCTCTGAGGAGGAAGCTGGCCCATGCGGTGAACGAAATCGTCGGGAAACTCGAATGCGGTCTTGAAAATTACGTGGAAAAGCCTCGCCTCAAACTCTAAATTCCGTTGAGCTAATCGAGCGCAACTTCTCGACGGATACTTAGCGAAATCGGCGTTGAAACTACGAAGGATATCTTCGTCTTTATTGGGGCAACCCTAGGCTCGAAAGACGATCCCTCATAGTTATCATCAGATATTTCTGCAATTGAACAGCTGCGTAGAATTGAGAGATATCCTATTCTCCATGGAGTCAAGGGGACTTTTCGTTTGCAACTCAAGGGATTCATTTGCTGGGACCCGTGAGGGCAGGGGTGGCACCTAACGCTCATCCCCCAAATCAGACTGCGAGGTCCGAGGTACGTATTATCGTA